TTAATTGTATCTTAGTTAAAAAAAATATAAATTTTTACATAAGATTCTTATAAAAAATTAAAATACAATTAAATATTTTATTTAATTTATTAAATATTTTATTTTCTTTTATTTTAATTTATAAACGATGGTTATAAGTAAAATTTTTTTTAAAAAAACATCTATATATATATATCGTTAAATTTATGATCTAAGCCCAGTAATAAAAAAACATATTGAAAATTGGTCGTAATAACAATTAATTAATAACCTAAATTTAAGATATAATACTTTGTATTCTAAATATCTTTTCTTTGTTAAAACTTGTTATTAAAATAAAAGAATTTTAAATGTTAATAACCTTTAACTAACAAAAATATGGAAATGATCAAATTTCTTCAAAAACAATGAAGATATATACATTCTTACATATGTATATATACATATACATTATTTGTATGATCTATTTATGAAAAATTTCTTAAGAAACTTTACAGGTAGTGAATGAAATTAACTACGGTCCTTTACTGATCTTTTCATTTTAACTACTGTGCTTAATGACCAATAAACCTAAAAAAAATATGAATATGGATGCAGATAAAGCATTTTTAGATGCTTTCATCGAATGTTAATAAAAGTAATCGCTGTTTGTGGGATGTCCAAAGCTGTGAATATAAAGATCGCAAAAAAAAAACGCGGCATATATAAAATATACAAAATTATAATCAATTATAAGCAAAGCACAACCTATACGTTAACTATCAATTTTTTCAATTTTAAAATTTTATTTTAAACACACAAATTTTCACAGCACTACCCGCAAAAGCACTCTTCAAAAATTTTGCCTACTCTTGTGTGTCATACCTGTTCAAATTCGGTCGCTAGAAGAAATTTGAGCAAGAGAGAGCGCAACTCGTATGACACACCAGTATGATAGTCTGCACCCCACTTAAGACTGGTATGGACATCTTCGTCGTAAACACTATGACTTGCATAGGATTGAGAGCATGTTGGGAGCGTGTTTTGTGTAAACTTGTAAGCATCCATGCAAATATTAATATTTCCACTTAGAATTGACACATTACCATAAATATAGATATAGATATACAGGGTAAAGTAATTTATGAAAGTGCGTAACTTAACAAAAATTTCAATGTTGAGTTTACAGTATATCAGTGCAGTAATATGCATAACGATTTAGGATACTTGATGGTTACACCGCTTTTTTATCCAATTTCTTCATACATTATTTTATTTTGCAACTTTACCGCAGTAGATTTTAATTTGTGAATCTGGCACAAGCTGAAACTAATTAAATATAAATTAAAAAGGACAGCAGCGAAATGGCATTTTAATTGAAAAATCAAATCAAATACCCACAGAACGTTCATGTTTTTAGTAGCGCTGTTTTTACAAAATATTGTTAAGATTTGGAAAAAATAACAGCAAAGTAATCAAAACTATTAGATATCATTAATTTTACAAAATTAACAATTATAAAGAACTCAAAATAAACATATCAACTATGTTTTGTTTAAATCTAAATACACATATTGTAATATAAATATTACATATTGGAGTGACATAGTTTAATCATGACTAGGGTATATTAGGGTATTAAATAGTAGACCAATTCCATAGAACTAAATGCATATATTTTATAAAAACGTAAGTTCTTTTTAAAAGGAAATACATAAAGTAAATGAGAATGGAAATTTATTTGGAAGCAACTGTTAACTTGAAAATTAAACTGAAAGCTGGAATCAATGCTTAGTGTTAAGTTTGTAAGTTTAAGGTAAGAAAAAATTTTTAAGTTAAATATTTTATTTTATCCAAGTTACCAAGTTACACTCGACTTTGAATTTATATAGTAAAGAACAGGGTTTAAGTAATGTATTATGCGAACTTGCACACAATTTATATGTTGAAATTAAATTTAAATTTGATATTAAGATTAATAAAAATAAAATCTTTATTATTATCACAAAAATGATTATGAGAAGGCTAATTGTATTATATTTATTTTATTAATATTATTCTCTGAATGATTAACAGTTTTATATTTAGAGCATTTATGATATAATTAAAAAAAATATCACATTAATATAGTAATTCACATGTAAATGTATACATAAGATCCTAAACGTCATTTACTGAAGTTACGACAGAAATTCGGTTTACAACTTTTTTGACATTTGGAAAAGATTGCAAAAAACTGGTTAAATTCTAGCCCGTGTAAACACAGTGTAACGCATGCAAACATTTTAAGTAGAGCAAAATAATACAAAAGCTTATAGGGCATAATTCAAGTGATGAAAGATAACAGAATAAACCAAAGAAAAGTAAAACACATTTATCAATATTTCAAAAAACTAAAAAAAGAAAAGGTTATACAGACCTTTTTTAATCTTAAAAATATTTATATCTTAGAGAATTTTTTCTAAAAGTACAATCATAGGAGAAATATTTGGTTATTGGCTAATTTGATAACAATTTAAGAACTAAAATGTATTCAGGCGAAACACATTTACGATTAAAAATAACTTTTACTTACATATATATATTGTTTATTAACTGAGCAAATTATAAGTTAATATAATCAAAACTGAAATATTAAAAAACTAAAATATATGTTTCAAAATATACTAAATTGAAAGTTTGAAGAAGTTAAAATTTAACAAATTTATTTGTTAGCAAAAATAAGTTAAAATTTGACGTTTAAGTGTCAACTCACCTCGTATCGTAGCGTGGAACATAAATTATGTACAAAGCTTCTGCTGCTGCGCTGCTTCCAAATATGTTTAGCATAGCAGAATTTTTAATTTCATTTTTTAAAATTTTTTTTTCATATATAAACTCATTTTTTTAATTTTGATATAATGCAAAAACTAGTTAAATAACTAAATATTAATATATATTCGTAAACTTTATAAGATTTTTCTAAATATTTTAGATTATGCACTTCTTTTATGCACTTCGTTCGCACCAACTACGATAAATTTTTGCGCACGCACTTTCATTCATTCTATGCTACTGTGGTCAATCATTTTTTTGTTTTTCTCCCCCTTTTTTTTTGAGAAATGATCCTCATTTTGCCAAATTATGCATGTATGCTTTGGTGGTGGAGTTGAATAAAATGATTTGATTACAACAGTATAACAGGTCATATGTGTATTTAAAACGAAATCAAAATTGTTATAAAAAGGCAATTATCTATTGTTTGGTTTCTGTGATACTGAATCAGTACAAAAAGACATATTACCTAAAAATATATAAAATTACACTTAATTTCATATATAACTTCAAGCTAGATTGCTATAAGTTAAGCTGCAATAATAAAAACCCTTCAAAAAAAATTGTTTAAGGGATTTATGTTGTTTTTGTTACGTTGATTAAAGCATCATGCTAGGGTTACCGAATTGCTTTAATAAAAAGAAATTCAGTTACTGTGCTTTGAATATTAATATTATATATTTTATCTATTAAAACTGTTTTAGAATATTATTTTAAATGTTTGTTACTTGTAATATAGTATATATATGAAATTCCTCATAGTCCACATATAAATTTATTGCAAATTAATTCTCATATAATAAATATATGTACCTATATATTCTGATGCAAAATTTTTAGACTGTCACACACGATTATCTTAAGCCGTAAAATACATAAAGCCAATTAGGTTAAAGTTCAATTCTACTGATAAAATTAATAAATCAAAATAAATGATTTATTCACACAATACGGATTTATATAACTTTTAAATATAGTTCGATAAAACTATAGCCCCTAATACCTTAAGTTCTATATTTGATTGACTAATTTAACTTCAATATCTTTTTGACGCAATATTTACAATCTCACACACATCGAATATAAAAAAGACTATATTATTATTACATGTCAATAAAATGTATTAAAATTTGAATAACGTTTATCTAAAATTTGAATTCGGTATATAAAGAAGTAAACTAATTTGATAATAATTAATTGACAATTTAATCATTAAAATATGTCTTTTTATCAATGACGTGAATACACTTTATGCATAAAAAAGTATATTTTTTAAATTACTTTATCATTACTATAGCATTTTTTAACATATAAAAAAGAAACATATGTGGATTTATGATTCTAAGAAATATATTGCATTTCTTTAATAAATATCTCAGCATAAATAATTCATTTTATATATTATCAATGCCAAACATGAACTTTAATTCCAAGAAAAAATCTATACACAAAGTACTGATCGCTTGAATTCCTAAGTTATCTTAGTTACTTTTTATATGAGTTTTAAAATTTTTTTTTTTGTTTTTTGATAAGAAAAGCAGATTCACTGTTTAAATTATGAAAAAATTTCCCTTTTTTATTTTACAAATGCCAAATTTTAAAAACAAATAATCAATTAAAATTTTTTTTTAAATCTGATTTTTCTTATACATTTGAAAATATCAGTGTTTGATAAGAATAAAAAACCATTATATAAAAGGAACTCTAAGCAATTATTTCTACATAGAATACACAATCAAAATAGGTTAACCTATATCAAAGATTGTTATATAAACCCCTATGGCTTTTATGTTAAACGTTAAGTCATCATGTACAGTATTTATTTTAGTTGTTTAAAATAATATATTAATTAATATAACATAATTATCTAATATTAATAAATTTAATGGAAACAATAGATAACTTTTAAATCCCTCTAATATTGTACTTATAATTACTTTTTATTTTTATTTGATGGGTGTCCATAACAATTCTTCTATTCTAATATATACAATTTACTTTTGCATTTTTTTTTTAAATTTCCATTTTCTTAATAATAATTTATTTTTAATTAATTCTAAAAAAAATTAAACTATATTTATTTGGATTACTTTTTTTTATTTATATAAATATATTTTTGAAATTATTGTTAAAAAATAATATAAATATTTGATTATTATAATATCATTTTATTATAATATTTGATAATTATTATATAAGTAGTATAGCATGTTATAAAAGTAGTTTATTATAAAAGTAACTTCACAAAATATTTTTATTGATGTAATTGCATTTCATACAAAATTGGGTTTGATGTTAAATTTTTGAGGTTACCAAGGACAGCTGTAACTTTCACTCGGCACACATAACTTCATTTGGGAATTAAAATACCAATTTTCGGAACAACTCAGAACGACATTTTGTCCACCAAAACAAAAATTGTATTTATTACAATCCCCTTGGTATTCAAATTGTGAACCTGAAGCTGCATTTACACACGATGTTCCATCTTTTACAGATGGCCATGGTGGCCATGTGTAAGATGTAATCGCTGGCAATATTGACGTTGCTTCATTTTCACTGTCTGGACATTGATTGTCTGCTGAAAAAACACATTGTAACAATGTTTCATTAAAAATTGTATTAGCTGGGCAATAAGCGGCAAAGGGTATGGGGTAATCACAGACTATAAAACGTTTACAATCATTAGGATAGGCTAAGCGTGTACCCAGAGGAAGTCCGCAACAAACATTTTGTGTGTTTGGATTGAGTGTTGTGGTTGGTATTTCCGTTGGTGTTGTAAGAGTTTGCGTAGTTTTGGTTACAGTTGATGATGGAGCAGCAGTTGTTGTTGTAGGAACTTTAGTTGTTGTTGACGGTATATCAGTTGTTGTTGCCGGTATAGTAGTTGTTGTTATTTTTATACTACAGTTAGCCTCATCAGGTGGCATGCATTGTTTTAAATCAGCATTAAACTCCAAACCAACGGGGCAGTCATATCCCACTGGTATTGGTTCTTGACATACAACATATTTACTGCAATTATTTGGATATGGAAAAAGTGTACCCAATGGTTGGTTGTAACAGGGACCCATTGGTGACTCAGTTGTAGTTGTTTCAATAGTTGTGCTCTCTGTTGTAGTTGTGATTATGGGAGTAGTTGTTGTAGCAATATCTTCACGACAGGCTGTTGATGAAGTTTGCTGATCACAATTTTCTGTTTCCTTATTATAATATGTGCCAGGTTGACATTTGGCATACACTGGTTGTTCATTAATACATATAATATATTGACTACAATCCTCCGGATAAGGTAATATTGTGCCTGTAGTTTTATTAGCACATATCGATGGAGTAGCTACAGTAGTTGTTACTAATTCTGTAGTCGTTGTCTCTGTGGTAGTTGGAGTAGGCGTAGTCGGTATGGTAGTGTCAATAGTTGTGATTATGGGAGTAGTTGTTGTAGCAATATCTTCACGACATGCTGTTGATGAAGTTTGATGATCACAATTTTCTGTTTCTTTATTATAATATGTGCCAGGCTGACATTTCGCATATACTGGTTGTTCATTAATACATATAATATATTGACTACAATCCTCCGGATAAGGTAATATTGTGCCTGTAGTTTTATTAGCACATATCGATGGAGTAGCTACAGTAGTTGTTACTAATTCTGTAGTCGTTGTCTCTGTGGTAGTTGGAGTAGGCGTAGTCGGTATGGTAGTGTCAATAGTTGTGATTATGGGAGTAGTTGTTGTAGCAATATCTTCACGACATGCTGTTGATGAAGTTTGATGATCACAATTTTCTGTTTCTTTATTATAATATGTGCCAGGCTGACATTTCGCATATACTGGTTGTTCATTAATACATATAATATATTGACTACAGTCTTCCGGATAAGGTAATATTGTGCCTGTAGTTTTATTAGCACATACCGATGGAGTAGCTACAGTAGTTGTCGCTAATTCTGTAGTAGTTGTCAGTAATGTTGTGCTTGTTGCAGCCGTTGTCTCTGTGGTAGTTGGAGGAGGTGTAGTCGGTATGGTAGTGTCAATAGCTGTAGTCGTTTCATATCCCTCCCTACAGGCAGTGGGGGAGGTTTGAAAATCACAATTTTCTGTTTCTTTATTGTAATATGTACCTGGTTGACACAAAGCATAAATAACTTGACCTTTAACGCATATTATATATTGGCTGCAGTCGTTTGGATAAGGGAAGGTTGTGCCAGTAGCTTCATTTTCACAGATATTTGGAGAAGCAGTTGACGAATCCGTTGTTGTTGTTGCTTCTGAGCTTGTGGGTGTTGTAATTGTGGAGCTTGTTACTGTTGTCGCTGTAGTAGTGGAAAAAGTGCTTGTAGTGGTAATAGGAGTCGTTACTGTACTACTTACTTTTGTAGAAGTTGTTGACTCAGATTTGCAGGCCGTTGACGATGTTTTACTATCACAATTACCTGTTTGTATATTATAATAGGTACCTGGCATGCACTTAGCTGGATATGGTTGTCCATTTAAGCAATAAATAAACTCTGAACAGTCATTACGATTAGGTAAGGTACTGAAATCAGGTAAATTATCACAAGAATCTGCTGGTGGTGTCGTTGGCACAATTGGTGTCGTTTTAATACTGCAATTCGCATCTTCAGCATCTGTGCAAGTTTGCATTACTGCGTTAAATTCCAAGTTATCATCGCATGCATATGCAACTGGTATTGGAGACTCACATACTATATATTTTGTACAATTTTCTGGATAGGGTATCAAAGTACCAGGCGTTTGATCGGCACAAACTTTCACCTGCTGTGGTGGTGGCTTAGTTGGTTGTGGAGTTGTGGTAGTCACTTCTTGTCGACAAGCATTAGCATCAGCACTTACTTCACAGTTACCCAATATTGAATTGTAAAACTCATTCCCATTGCATACCTCATACATATAGATATTATTACCAGTGCAACGTATATAAAATCGGCAATCTTCAGTATAGGGGAATGTAGTGTTTGGTGATTGTCCTTCGCAAATGTTATTAGTAGGATTTGAAGTTGTACTAGATATAGTTGAAGTTGTCGTACTGGGTGTTGTTGTCGGCTGTCCACAACTCGTATTACCTTCAACATCACATTTTTTTTGCTGCTCATTAAAGTACCAGTTATTTTCGCATTCAAAAGCTACTGGCGCAGGATACACGCACATAATATATTTCTTGCAATTATCTGGATAAGGTATTAGTTCCCCATTTGTATTATTTCCACAAACGCTCTGGGTAACAATAGGCGTTGTTGTAGGTATAGCGGGTGTTGTGCTTATTACCCATTCCTTGCAAGCATCTGGTGATGCATCAACTTCACAATTACCAGCTGCTGGAACATAATAAGAACCCGTTGCACATTCCATTAGGGTTGGTAGGTCATGATTGCAAATAACAAATTGTGAACAATTGTCGTAGACCGGAAATGTACTCAAATTTGATGCACCTTCGCAAACATTTGTGGAGGTTGTTGTTTGCGTTGTAGAGCTTGTAGTAGGTTTTATTGTAGTTGGTTCAGTCCAATCTTCACAAGCCGTGGGTGATACATCAGGACCACAAAATGTCGTATCGGGATTATAATAATTATTATTTGGGCAATCTAAAATTAGATAACTGCCAGATCCCATGCACATTATATACTTAGCACAGTTACTTTCAAGTGGATATGTGGTGCCCTCTGATTCTTTTTCGCAGAGCTTTGCTGGACTTGATGTGGTCGTTATAATTGGTGTAGTTGTTGTTGGTTCAGAGCACGCAGTTGGAGAAACTTCTGGTCCACAGTCTTTTGTAGAGGGATTATACCAATTATTAAAGGGACATGAAAGTATTTCCGAAGTACCGTTGCCCCAACAGTAATAATAAAATTGACAATTAGACGTATATGGGTATGTTGTGCCATTTATTTGATCAATACACAACTCGTACACTGGAGTCGTTGTGGTTGGCAAAACTGTAGTAGTTGTTTCCTTATAACAAATCACATCCTGTGGTTCATCACAAATCAGTAATTCCGGATTGAAAAGCCAACCATTTGGACATTCACGTAATTCTAATTCACCTGCTAAACACTCTATAAACTGAGCACAATTACCTGCATATGGATAAAGGATGGGAGAAGTAATATCTTCGGTACCAGCACACATGCTGGGATTCAAATCTGGGGGCAGAGTAGGTGGTATAGTTGTGGTAACTGTTGTTAACTCAATTGTTGTGCTGCTCGTAGTTGTGGTGACAGTTGGAGCTGTTGGATATGGTGTCTCGTTGCATTCCATCGTCGCTGATGTATCACAAATACCTAACATAACATTAAATATTTTACCTGGCTTACAGTACTCTAAAACAGCACACTCATCTGCACAACGTATGTAAGCAGTACAGTTGTACTCGTAACGATAATAAATGTCGTGTGAATTATGATCACAAAAATCGTCATTGACGCCGTAAATAGGTGTGCAAACAAATGGTGTAGTCGGGGTTATAATTTCGGTTGTTGCAGGTGTCGTAGTTTCCGTTACTTCCGTTGTAATAGTAGTTGGCATTGGCAATTCTTCACATTTGGCTGTGTCCGGTGTATCACAAATGCTAAGGTAAGCATTAAACACCTTATCTGGGGGACAATAATTCAGAACTGGGCAACTTTGTGTGCAGTTGATATAGGCATTACAATTATACGGATAACGAAATAGTGTACCATCTTCATATTGTTCACAACTAGTGTCGCTAATGCCAATAGGAGCAGTACATGGTTCACTAGTTGGTGTATAAGTTGGTAATGTAGAATCAGGCGTTGTAACTGTTACGTCACCACCACCACTCCACTGGCAATCAACATTTGGCGGATAATCGCAATTTTTAATTTCATTATTAAACCACAAGCCACCAGGACAATCTTTTACAGTGGGATACTCACAATTACAGACCAAGAATTTGCTGCAGTTACCAGGATATGGCACGAGCTCACCAAATGGCTGATTTGCACATGCTTGTTTATTTTGAGGTCTTTCTTCATTATCAATACATGTACGCAATGTAGTCTCTTGTATATTAAATGTTGGAGGCGAAACGGTACATGCATTTTCGGTATCTAGAACACAGCTTCGTTTAACTGCACTAAATACTTTGCCCACTGAACATGAACGCACTATCGGATACTGACTCAAGCAATAAATGTAGTACGAACAAGAAATTGGTATTGGATGAACAGCGCCATCAGGTTCAGACAAGCATACGGTGTTAGATACTGTTATAAGTGCGTCAACGGCGACGTTATTAACTGAAAGTGTAACTAGCGTAAACACTGCTAGAAACAAGTAGTAATCTTTCCATATATCTGCAAAAAACATATAAAAACTTCGTTAAAGAATAATGTGACAAAGTTTTATTCTGGCTAAAATAAAAATTTATTATCAAAAGTAACGAAACCGTCACCCTTTTGAATTATTTTTTTTTTTTTATTGAAACATAATGGAAAGAATATTTAGTTTCTTTAAAAAAGCTGGAAGATCAACTAACGTTAACATAACCAATATAATTAAACATTAAAAATTTTGAATTTAGAGTACATAGAAGCAAATATTAAAATCTTTTTAAAAGTATTTTATAATTATAACTACAACACATAGAAAAATGTCATCAACTCAGAAAGTGTTTCCTTGATCCTCGAATAAATCGTCCATTGCTGCTATTGTGCGAGTTAGGTTATTTATTTATAATACCATTAATATGTCAACATCTGTTCTATATATTATCTGTATATATTATTAGTTGTTTAAATACCGTTTCATCTGAAGTGTAATTATTCTTTTATTCCCTTTTATCAAATTTTGAAAACTGTTTTAACTGAAAATTTTGTCCTGGACGTTGTCCGTTGCATCGACGAATAAAATCGAGGCCTTTGAAATATGATGCTATCGACGCATGTTTAAAATAAGCTGGACAGAAAGAATTACAAATGCAGTGGTCCTTCAAGTTGTCAACAAAGAGACAGCAGCACTAGGGACAGTAAAACGACGAAAGTTGGATTTTTTCGGTCATATTCTGAAGCATCCGGAAATTACTAAAATTAATCATTAAAGGCAGAATTGAAGGTAGACGTTGCCCTAGAAGACGAAGGATATTATGGTTGAAGTGTTTACGTCAACTTTTCAGTAAAACTACAAAATCACATTTTCAAGAGGCTGTAGATAAAGTCAAAGTTACAATCATGTTAGTGAACGTTCGAATCGGACAAGGCACCTAGAAAAAGAAGTTACACGACATGCCTACAATGCAATATATAGATCGATTTGAAAAGCGAGTTCGTGAAACTAGATCGTTTTTGAATAAAACAAATCTACGTACATATTCAATACGTTCAAAACCAAAAGCCCGCATTCATTTGCTGAATTTTCATTTCTTCATTGAGCGAAAGAACGCATTGTCGAAGATGGGCTTTATACATTGCGATGAGCAACTGTTCTTGTCATAATTGAAAACAAACATTTTTAATTCATATATTTCTTAATTTGGTCTCGCCCGTGCGACTAGTGGAGTAACATAAGCATGACTTTCTCAGCATTACGTTCCTAAATTAGGTTCTTTACATAAGAAAGAACAAATCATGCAACAAATAATGCCTCTACGAAGAGAATAGTATTGAAATTTAACAATTGAAAATAAAATTATAATTAATTAATTAATTCAATTATTCTACAGCTGGTTTATGATTTCGCTCTAATATAAACACAGCAAGTAAAATTGTTAATAAAAACTTTCATAGTAATAATAACAAAACTCCAGAAAAATATGCGAACAAAAAAGTCAAGTACGTCTTTGGATCAGTTGGTTAAGGTGCGCTGCTTCTGAGCTTTACATTTGGCAGAACTCGAGTTCGATTAATGGTACTTGCAATCTCAAAAAATAATTATTTACGAATAATTAAATACAAGAATTATTTCCAAGACCACTGATGATGGGTATTTGGCAATACTCGAAACAGCTGTATGGTCAGCCAAAAATTCAATTAATTAAAATAATATAAAAAATAAAAATTTTGTTGTTGTATTTCACTACTGTTCGAAAAAACCTCTTTCTTAATTTTATTTACAAATTTCAACTATCCTTCAGTATTATTCAAAAAAATGATACCATTACAATGTATCGTTATCTTTTAAAGCTGAATTTTATTTCAGCAGGGCAGTATTTTAGGGATCAAAACAAATTATCAATCGGAACAATGTAAGGACTATAAGGACGAAAAATGCGTATTATCATTATTTAATCCATCACGTTTACTCTTAATCAATTTTGGTCTCTTCTCAATCATTTTCTTACTCACATCAATTCCTAAAAGCATAGATTTTAAGCATTTGTTTGGGCCGTAAAAAATAATTTATAATAAATAATATGCAATCCCCTGGAACACACAGCATTAGTTTCTTTGACGTCAATCCGAACATTACTATCTTTTATGCAGTTATCTATTTTTTATTTTATGTGATGCACGTATTATTATCTAGTACCACCAGGTTCATAAATAGTTCAATTTCCTTTCACTTGGATAGTGATTTGCAGATGGGTATTTGATGTACTAAAATTTTGTCATTTACTTTATGATAAAAACAAAGTTCGCTTCTTATTGTAACAAACTTGAACTTCATTTCTTTGGCAATATCGTAATATATATATATATATATATATATCAGTCTACTTCTTCTTCCGTCTTATAAAGCCTTATTTTTGAGGTCATAAGCTTTTTCACCGATATGTGAGATATTTCTTATTCAAATTTTTAGAACAAACTAGAAGCAATTCCTTTTAGTTAATTAGACAGTTAATTGTAATAGAATTCTTTTGTTGTAAAAATTTTTTTTCACATACATGTGATACATTCTTTCAGTTATAGAAGCAAAACTTTAAAATAATGTTTGTCATAGGGGAAACACGACTCTCAATACAATAATCACCAATAATCACATAATTATGTCATCTGTCAAACAAAAAAAATATCAAAATCAGCTAAGCCTTTAAAATTAACACTACAACCGAATGGAACCAAACTCTTCTTGACTAGTCAATATTGAACTAATAATATTTATTTTTTCAGTAATTTTGAAAAAAATTTAGTTACTAATATCTACGACACAACGATATAACTTTATATTATTTTAACAATTATTTTTTAAATAAAGTATATTATAAGTTAATAATAATAATTAATAAAATATTTTATTAAAATTTTAATAATTTTAATAAATAATTTTAATAAGTGATAATAATTTATTTGTAATAAAATTAAATAATTATTAAAAAGAATTTTTATATATTTTTCTAATATATGTCATATATTATTAATTTTTATTGCGTTTATATAGCATTGAACGTAAACGTTTAAATTTATACTTTTGAAAAATGTATGTGCGTAGATGAGTACCCTTTATATATTATTTTGTATCCTTTTTGTTATTATTTTTCTAATTAGTTGTTTAAATTTAAATTAATTTTTTTATTTATAATTACAACTCATTTTTGAAATCAAAAATATATATGAGAATAACTTAATATATATAGAAAATTCATTTATCACACCTTTCATTTTTCTTTTTTATTACAAACTTTTTTATCCACTCATAAAATTTTTTTATCCGATTAATTTTATTTTTACGTTTATTTTAAATTTTTAATTTTAAATATTTTTATATAAACATAATTGTATTTTATTTTGTTTCGATCAATGCCGTTCGCTGATTCGTGATTGACTAAATTTCATTAATAAAAATTATTAACATTTTAAGGCCTAATGAAATGGGCGTTAAAATTGTGCCAAAAATTTGATTGAAAAAAATATTGATATGAAAATTTGGTAATCAGCGATTAGTAAATTAAAATTTATTGATAAACATTGCATATACAATAAGTATTTAGTAATTATAAAATTATTAATAAACATTTTGTTGCCATTTGCGCATTCAATATGGAGGGGTACTTTTTTTTGAAATTTCTGGAATATAAACAAAATTTTGATTTTTATTATTAAAATAAACAAATTCTTAAAATTGATAAAAACATCACGAAATTAAATTGTTAAAATAAATCAGTAAATAAATCTAATTTTATAATATTCTTAATTATATTTCCTTAGATTCAAATCATTCTTAGAAAAATTTGACTTAAAATATATAATAGATAAATAAAATAAAATAGATAATCGATATCAATTTTAATTAACTTAGCTTAATATATATTAAATACATATTGTATATACGATACATAAACATACATAAACAGATTAATATATATGTATATGTGTCTAAACGTGCCAATTTGTTATTCTAATTTTTATAAACAACACAAAAATGTTTGCCATGAGTCAGTTATTTAAAGATAAATACACTAAAAATATTTTTCCTACTAATAATATAATCTTTTTTTTAGAAATTTACATTTAATTTGAAAGTCAATTAATTGTTATAGAAGATAAACCCGCATCGACCCTGAGTATACGTCATAACGTTGTAGGTATCGTTATATTCTTATCGTGGAAAATATGCTATAATCGAGAATTAAGTAAAAATATTTATGTTTGAACCTTTTTATTGCCATAAACACAGTTTTTTTTTATAGATTAAGCAAATTTATTGATTAAAAAATTATTTGGGCATAGAAAATTATTTTAATTAATGTATAAAATTATTAATTTGAATATAAATAAATTTATTATATTATTATTATGTTAAGCCTTTTCCGAGTTAGTACATCTGAGAACTTTTACCCTATGATAGCTGGGGGGATTCTGCTGAGTCCCGCCCACCTCACTGACTAATTTGAGTATTTCTGATCATCTTCGTGATTATTCAATGATTGATCTAAGATCTGCGTACCGCCCCATGCGGTTAGTGATTACTCTGAGATTAGTGGTAAGTAGGGCAGCCTGTCGGTTTTCGCATATAGCTTCAGAACTCTGTCCCTTATGTATTTCTATATTTCTATTCTAAGGTCTCTTAGCATGTCATTCGTGCGGATGTACCATAATACTTTGAAGAGCCTTCGGAAAAAATTATTATATATAATACATAATACGATTGCCAAGTCCTTTAACCAAATTGAACCCAATTGAGCTGCAGTCAATTGCATATTTCTATCACTTTCGAACTAGTGGCAATAGTGCGTCTATATTTTACCTAATATCAGCGTTTTGAAGCATTAGTATTTCATTTAAGGACCAAAAATAATTTCGTGATTTTATGTCCAAAGCTTTACGTTTGTTGAAACAGCGAGTTCTTCAGGCTCTTTTACGATCTTGAAAAATTCATAAGGATTTTTTCTCTGCAACATAGGAAAATTGTACTATTTAACATAGCAGTTGAGCAACTAGATCACCTTTTAAGAAATGTCACATGACCGGGTTTAGATTTATTTAATTTAATTCACCAGCCTTTAATCCAAGGAATGATATTCTTGAAGTATATCTGCAGTTTTCAGATTTACTAGACAAAATTGTTATACTGTCTACAAATGTGCCAATTATCTTTAGTGTGTTGGAAGTCTGCTTTATAGGTACAAGCGCCACCATTATGTAAAATATATAGAAGTCAAACTATTTCACGATTATTTAGAAAAAGTACAAACGACCATAATAATTTGCATTTATAATAATAATATTGTCTCAAGCCTTGTCTGGTAAAACATACAATTTGTAATATATGATAGGAAAAGATTGGGAAAACATAATAACCATTTTAAATGATTTTATTTTTGATTTTGATTAAATTGTACATAAAATTATGATCCAACGAAACAGTATTCGAAACGGTAGTTGAAGGAAGAAGGCGTAGACGTACGCCATGTCTACGATAAAGTGGAAAAGTTGAGAAACTCGATAATGAGTTGCTATGGCCATTTAAGTAAAAAAATAAGTCAGTAGTACATATGGACTCACTTTTTGTAATTGTACAAAAAATTATATTTTCATTTTAAAAATTATCTTCTAAAAATTGAAAAATAGTTTTATTTAAATAATTGTAAAATAAAGACAGTTCAAATTGATCATATTTGTTTGTATACTTTATTTTAAAATATATATTGACATGTTCCTCACAGTGATATATTGTAGTCTACATGTAAGAGTGATGTATTATAAAACTATTGAATATATAAACGAAATGCTACACGAAACAATTTTTTGACCTCTCTTTTATATAATATTCCCTATTTGTTAGATTATTTTTTCTATTAAGAATATGAATTATACATTATAGGAGTGTTTAAATGAAAAATATACATATTAAATAAATAACATAGTACTGACTAGTAGATAGTCGTTATATTTTTAGATTTGATTAAATCGAATCAAATAAGCAATCGATTGTCTTCATAACTAAATTTAATAGATAATGGAGCATTATTTTATAATCACGTCCCCAAGAGTTACAATGTTTTTTGATGAGATAAAAATACACCAACTATTTTATTGATCAACTTTACTGCCATTTCTTAAAACAATTTTTCTTATATTATGAATTCCTTTGAAGGGAAAGCAGGCTTAAAATGAATAAATCTATGTCTTTTACTTTAGGCAAGTACCTTAAATCTGACTAATTCCTATGTCTTTAATATATTATTACATAATCTATATTAGACAAAAATTATATGAATATTACCATAATTATATTGGGCAAGAAATTTTGCAACTGTTATGAACTCAAATTTTTTATAAAGGAATTTAAAACGAAAAATATGCACTTTTACTATACTTAGTGCTTATCTCGAAATTTTTATCAAATTTATTTCACATTGTCATTTTACTTTATTTTTTAATTATGCAAAATTTATTAAGTGTTCAATTTATCAAGAAGATAAAAAATACTTATTTAAATGAAAGGCCAAATTATAATTATAAACAATAATTTATAATTACTAAGGAACCGCATGATTTGAATATTAGTCAGGCACTCAAAGTTGATCAATCATGAATAGATCAGTGAAGGTCTTTATTTTATTATTGGTTCTTAAGTCACCAATGGAATGATTGTTTAATGTAAATATAATTAAAAAAAAGTTTATTTCTTGAATATTTCAACAATACTATATATCTTAATAAAATAGAAAAATATATTTTAATTAGAAACTAATATCCAATTGACTAATAAAGTTATATTGATCACTTCAAAGGAAAATGAACCAATAATAGTTTATATAAGCTATCTTAAGTATTTGCAATATTAATTTTTTTTTTGTGTTAACATAAATCTTGTTCATTATCTTTCAAATTAGTAATTTAGATTTTAAAAGAAAAAGTTTGGTTTGATAAATACTATTAGCTTCTTCATTCAAAATTTTCGCTTTATCAAAGCAATTTTCATGTTAACCTGACCACATGTTTTCAATTGTAATTGTTTATACTTAAAAAATTATATTAATTAGCTTTATTTTGGATAATAAACATTTTTAATATATAATATATATTTACAATTAACATACATAATTTTCAAGTCTTATATACTTTCAATTATGAGATCTTTTCAATGTATATTTATTTTATTTTTTCTTAAATCTCAGTTAAAGTCTTTTTCAAGTCCCTGTTAACACACACGTAAGTGAACGGTTGAACCTATTCCGTAGCCTACCTTAGTGACTAGTTTTTTAAATCCATTGATTCAATGATCACATAGAAACGTTCGATACTTCTATGGTTTCGAATAAACAAACTATTGAAAACAATAGTTTATATTCAAAAAAAAGATTTCTTTCGGCATATGTTAGGTTAAGTTATACCAGCGATCCCTAGTGGATCTACTTAGACCTATTGGTCCATTGTGTTACCGTATATATAGGAAAAACTCATGGTTTAAAACCATCTAAAACCTTTGGCGAAGCATAAAATGCTATTTAGTGTCAGGACCTGTAATTGGTCAAGATCCTCAAGAAAGGGAGCTCCTAAAGTATTAAGTCGCCACCGTGCATGAGCTGGGCAAAAATATAGTAGATGAAAGGCACTTTCATCGTCTTTCCTGCAGTTGCGATAGATTTGATTGAAAGGGAGACCTAATCTTCTAGCATGGTTCCCTATTTTACAGTGACCTGTAAGTAAACTTACCGAAAGACCAATATCTCTACGAGGTATTTTAATAAAAATTTTAGATTTCCTTTTATCGGAATTCTTTTGGCATATCTAACTTTGAAAATTAATTTATTATAGAATTATAAGAAATTTAAATATATATAAAAAATATTCATTTAACTTTCCAGTTCCAGCTGTACGGTTTATAGAGTAATATTAGCATGATTTCCCTTTAGTACGTTCTTAGCTGACCTTCTCGGAGATTGCCACCTTGACGTGGTGAGGAGGCTCAGTAGTTACGATGAATCTTCGAGCGATGCCGGCGGTAGCTTGCTACTGGTAGGGCCTCCCTTGCCGGTAAGGTCGAATGAGGAGTAATGAAGCTAAGCGCATTCCACAACGTAGCGACGGTACTCATATTGAGCGGCTGCAAAAGGCGTCTATTCTCCAGGTTAGGTGCGGCCTATTTAAAAGTGGCCTGTCACTACGTGCAAAGCTTACAGGACTGACATTGCACTTGTAACCCATCTACACAGAAGAAAGAATACTAAAATAATGCCACTACAAGAGAATAGTATTGGAACAATTTAAAAAAAACAATAAATTATTAAATCTATTATTCCACAGCTGCTTTATGATTTCGTTTTGATATAACACAGCAAGTGAATTTGTTAATGAACTTTCACAGAAAATTAACAAAACTCCAAGCTCGAATATACAAGTTAAATATGACTTTAAGTCTGTTGGCTAATGCACACTGACTCTGAGCTTTAAATTTGGTAGGGAACGAATTAAACTCTTGGTACTTGCAGTTTCAACAAATTATTTACAAATAATTAAATACAAGAATTATTTCCAAGACCACTGATGATGAGTATTTGGCAATACTCGAAACAATTGTGTGGTCAGCCAAAAATTCTATTAATTAAAATATTTAAAATTTTGTTGTTGTGATTCAGTACTTCTCGAAACCTTTTTACATTACATTTGTTTCTGATAAGTAAAATAGTTACTTTCATCATAAATGATGTTAAAAATCAATTTAAAATAAACTAATAAGTAAATAAAGTAAATAAAATAAATAAATAAATAAAGTAAAATAAATCAGAATAGTAGAATAATAGTAGAGCTCATATAGAAAAAATTGAGGGTTACAGTTAATAGTTCAACAAAGTTTTTTTTATTGTTTTTCATTAGTTGCGCAATATTTGCATTTTTATATATATGTTTGTTAGTATATAAATACGTATATATATAAAATACATTAATCATTTTTAGTGGCATGAATATATTTATAATTCACCAAATAAGTCTATCATCATATATATTTCCTCTACATCATAATCTACATTGTCGAAATAGGAATATTTTTGAAGGTATTAAATGTAAATGAGCAATAATCTTTTTACCATCATTAATGAATACTATAATTTCTGTTAATAGAAGTAACTATATGGCAAAAAAAAGGAAATTTCACAATTATATGATATTGATTATAGCAGAACATAAATAATTGAATTTTAACTGTTACTTAAATTGTTTATGATTTCATTTTTTTTTTGCATTTGGCAAAGATTTTCAAATTTTTTCAATAATAATTTTAATCAAACTCATTTTATTTTTACTAACAGTGTATTATTACTTACAAATATTCCAATTGTTGATATAAAGTCTTCAATCAAAGTACAAAAGAATAATTTAAGAATATAAAGAATTCATTTAATTTTTATTACGTATCTTGACAGGAAAGTGGTTTTTAATGTACAATAATTAAAATTAATAACAATCACTTAACTTGTCACAGATATTAATTTCTTATAGCTTTTTAATATCCACTAAAAGTTGGCAATCAATTAAAATACACAATGAAATTATATCAAAGCAAGTTAACGCTACCGAAGTAGCTAGTGAGAACAATTAAGATTAGATATTGTTTCAAATCAACAAAAATTAGAGCATACTTCTAGGATCTGATATATATTTTTGAAATTTAGTTTATAATGTTTACACATAAAAAAATTTAAGTAGTTAAACAGTAGTGTTTACCGGTTGGATTTATTAGACTGCTACTGTATATCACCAACTTAATTTATAGTCACAGAAATAAGACAATATCTAATGCACGTTATTCAAAAATCCAAAATTGTTGTGTATATAGTTTCATCATATGTAATTTGCCAGTAATTTGTTTGCTGCATTAACATAATTTAATTAAGAAATTAATTTCCACTAGATCCATACTAGAGACTTAAGTAAACAGACCTTAAATCATATCTGAAGACCAATAAATTTTAATTACTTTCATATTGATTTTTTTTGAATATGTTATTGAATTCATTGTGAAACCACATTGAAGAAAATTATATGACAAAAATAAAGACTTAATATTTTGTTTAAAATAATATTGTTATGAAAAGTATAGCAATCATCTTTTTACATATATTTAAAATTAAACATATAAAATTTACTATTATTACACCTTTTAAAAAGCCATTTCTTATCATTAAATGACAATGGTATACTTATCATCAGGATAGAATGAATATAGACTATATTCGAATTATTGGTTAGAATAAAATCGTTTAAAAACGAAAAATTTTTTAATTATTTTATTATTTAACTATTGACCAATTAGACCGTTAAAAAACAAAATTATTATTAAAAATATTTGGTCATTAAAATAATAAATGATTATAAAATGTTTGTGTAAAAATAGTCTATTACGAATACTTTAATTTAAAATATGGAAAAAATTTATAAAATCAAAATATGATAATTTTTATTGTTTCAAATTTAAATTTTAACTACCAAAAATTCAGTGAAAAACTCTGATATGAAATATTGCTTCATATTTCTTTTACTGCAAAATAGAAATATTTTTTTTATTAAAAATTTAAAAAGCAAATATACGAAAATTGCAAAAAGATTTTGCAAGATATGAACAAATGAAACTTGTAGCTGATTTTTTATCGATGCTTCTAGTTTGAGTATTTTATGCAAATAATTAAAAATAAAACAGAAATCGAGAAATCGAGGAACTTCAAAAATTTATTACAAAGATAAGAGCAAAAGTCTATAAATTACGCTATGAAATCTAACAATAAAACAGTTAACAAAAATTTTGTGTTCAACATTTTTCAAAAAAAAGTGAAAAAGAACAATAAGAAAATATGAAGTTCATTTTGGCAATTTTGGCCATTTGCATCATAGAAACAAGCACAATGGATGGCAGAAGAGTAAGCAATTATCAAAATGGATTTCCAAATCGAACGGAAAGAATTGTAACTTAGGACTATGAAATATTTTTATTATATCGGAAACATGTTCTTGATGCTTTATTAATACTTATAATAATCATGAAAATAAAATAATAAACAGAAATGATATAAACGAACATATACCATTGAAAGGCCATAAGACCTACAGTGATATACAAAATTAATATAAAACAGTAAAGTGATAAATAATTAATACCAGATATACGTGTGGTACAAAGTAACTACAAGATAATGCTAAACAATATACTTCATACAATATTCACTTATTCATGACGTATGAGTGACATATGTAATGCACTGTAGACTACAGTACAGTTTGTAGTGTTGGTTCAAATACGAAGTGAAGTTTATATAAAAATTTTGTATTATGCATTAAAAAATTTAAAAACTATTTAATTTTCTAGTGCAAACTTATAGTAGCTAGTATACTATATAATACATAGTAATTACAGTAATGGTTTATGAAATATCACTGATCAAAATTAAATTTTTTAATGTAGTACTGTACTGTACTTTGCTCTTACATACATAATTTGAAAACCATTAAAAGTTCGTGAAACTGAACATTTCTATACTCCCTTCTATTTTTAAATAAATTATAGCCATGAATTTCCTTTCCGGACAACACCCCATTTTTCTTGAATTGAATTGGTTGAACACTTCCTTGAATTTCTTGAACATATATAGGATATTCTTTATATATACGTTTCTTTTAAAACCTCTATGTATTTAAAAAACACATTAACTGCTATTGCTATTAATAATATTTACATATACGAGAAAACTCTCCCATCTCGCAGAGAGGTTTTTCATGTCCATATATTCGTGTAAAATATGATGTACCCGTTCAGTTGACATATCTACAGCATGAGCCAACTCACGCACTTTTATTCTCCGATCATCCAATATTATTTCTTTTTTGGGGACCTGAATGTTCGGCGTCACTAGTGCTGGTATGATCACAACGGAACTCTGTAAACCACTTCTTAACCATTGAAATTGATGGTGCCGAGTCCCCATAGTATTTATAAAGTCTTTCTTTAGTTTCAGTGATGAATTTTTTACGTAAAAAGTAATGCTTAATCAGCACACGGAATTCACTTTTATCCATTTTCGTAAAAATTCACGAGGTTGTCTGCTTTGAACGGCTATCAAACACCAACTGAACGACGAAGCTTGCTCAAAATTAAGAAGTTGCACACTGGTAGATTACAGTTGACGGCAGCACTGTTGCATTTGGAGTAACTGCGCGGGAAATTCAAAAAGTCACTGACTTATCAAATCGCCCTTGTATTTTTGCATTACTGAAGAAAATTCGGCTGAATGACTTATCATTATTTTTGTAACAAGTTTTCATGAAACAATTAAGGGAGGTAGAGTACTTCATATTCCATATTGTAAAATTATTGACTATGTACTACACACGTAATGTTATAGATGATAGTTTAATAACTTTACTTATTCTCAAAGAATGCGAGCAAGCAGCATTAGAGGGACTAACAAAATCTCACTTAGTTGGCTGCAATAAAATTTGACAAAAATAATTTTAATTTCATAACTTTAATCTTTTAAAGCCGGTAGATTTACTTTTTAAAATAGTTCCAAAAATCAGATTCTATTAGGTTTACGATTTTAAAAGGAACTGCAGTAATAATCATCTTCTGCTCTCAAATTGATTTTTATTTTTGGAAACAAACAAAAATCACACGAAGTCAAGTTTGGGGAAATTTTTTAAATCCCTGATTTTGTTCTATATAGCAATTACTGACTATTCAGAGATATAACTGCTAAAACTTTTCCTCTAGTAAAGTAAATTGTCGTCATCACTTTAGTTGTGGATTCCCTGGTTTTAATGGATAAGCATCTTTTAAATTCAATTCCGTGGATTACCACCTTTTAGGCTGTATACCTTCCACCACTGTTTTCTTCTTATGATATTTGATATTTATTAAAAATGTCTACAGTCCTTTAAAGGGATCACCAAAGAATAAATTGTAACCGAAAGGATAAAACTTCAAATGAAATATAGCACTTCTATGCTAAATAAGCAGTCGCTACCACTTAAAAACTTAAAACCAATGATATTTCGTAGTGAAAACTAAATGTGAATATATGTGTGTGTGTCACTTTCTTTTATAAAGTTCAAGAGCCTTTCTAACATTCTTAGGGTCAGTTAATATAACTATTTTGTAAATTTATGGGAGTTATGAATAAATTTACTATAATATACACTTATGTGTGAAAAAAATCAAATTCATATCGCTTTTTAATCTATACAAAATTTTAATTTGTTCAAAAGTAAATTAAATCAACTTTTTTTCTTATTTCAGTTTATAGAAAACCGATTTCAACCGATTTGTTATAATCAACACAAAGTCATGATACCTATGCCTGGTTCATGTACAGCTTTCTTTATATGCAAACGTGGTAAGGCTATAGTAAGCACTTGTGGCGAGTTTTATCATTTTAATCCCCGAACTGGAGTTTGCGATCACCCAGCTTTAGCAGGATGTATTATAAGCAAACCACTGGAAATTGAACCTCCTCTAGAAAATAACGATTATAAACCAATTATGCCTATGTTACCTATGATAAATGAACCAACACAAAATGATGAAGAAAAACTAAATATCATTAAGTTAATAAGGGAATCTATTCCAAAACCACAGCATCCAGATGAAGTAATAGCAGATCTTTCTGCTGGACCGATTTGTGTACAATTTCAAGATGGCACCCTGTTACCAAAAAAAGATTCATGCACACAATATTTTGTATGTGTACGCAAACGACCATATCGTCGTACATGTCCTAAACTACTGCACTTCAATCCAATCTTAAAACTATGTCAATCACCGCTTTTAGCACAGTGTGAAAAGAATCCAATATTACCAACGAAAATACCTTCGAAGCCAAACAAATGTTCACGTGTACCTGATGGTACTTTGCTACTTCATGACAAAGAGTGTGAGAAGTTCTTTAGATGTTCCCATGGTAAACTAATCGAAATGAGATGCCCAGTTGGTTTGCATTTCAATGAACCACATCAGCGTTGCGATTGGCCGAGAACGGCTAAATGCGTAATACCGAAATAAAATATTATTATATAAATGTACATAATGTATATTTAGTTATCTGAGTAAAACTAAGCAATTATAAAACTTATTTCTTAATTTATTTTAAATTTATTTATTGGAAGATGAAACGACGAAGAAAACTATAGTATAAAAATAAATTCCATTGTACTTCTTTTAGTTAAAAAATGTTTAATTTTTCTTGGGGTTAAGTTATTTCTGATGAATTTGTAACATATAGATATGGGATTTCACTTTGGTGGAAGAGCATTTGAAGTTTAGTTTAAAATCTTTATAAATAAAAGGGACCAAAGTTTCAATATGTATGTCGATAACGGTGTGCTTTAGTCCAATTATTAAATGTGATATTTAAAAAAATTATACTGGTAGAGTTTGAGTGACTACTAAGACAGAAAACTATCAATTTTATTGTTGAGGCAACTTAGATATAAAACACTTTATCTATATATTGTAAAATATTTATCTTAATTAGAAGCTAACTTGTACAAGTAATTAAACGTTTACGTGAGTAGTTCTATGCTCTAAATATCATCCTTAAGAATTTTGTGTACCTCGCCTTTAACTATTGCTTAATTACTTATTACTAAAATTTTGAAATATTTTCTACTTTTTGGTTTTTTATTGTCATTTAGTATTGTTTATTAAAAGCATAATTAGTCTGTGCATTTTTTAACAGTTTTGGTCCTTAGTGTAAAGTCTGATTGGTTATAGATTTAACTGTTCTGCTCTATATAGTTCAGTCACAATATATTTTCGCATAATTATTTTTAGCTATAATATATGGATAATATTTGCAATGGATTGTTAAAAATTTTAAAAACCCTATGGTAGGCACAACAACTGCATCTCTAATAATTCGAGAATGCCGCCCTTCCCTCAATGAATTAGCTACGTTTCTTGAGCAATTCACATGGGATTCTGAACATTAAGATATGTTGGTCAATTGTAGGGCGGACGAGGTTGCCTAAGCAGGCACTCTGCTCCCTTAAACTCACTTCTCAAATACAACCCATTTGCAAAAGTTTAACTGCCAATGAAACAAAAATCTCTAAGCATAGCCAAGCAAAATTAGTCGTACGAATCCGGCTATTCAATCTCTAGGTTGACCTGGTCTAAACGGGACAAAAAACGTACCAGTCAGCTACTTTTACTAAGGCGTTAATTGCTCAGCACTACTGTATCGATAGTTAGGTCACTGCATAATAAGAAGATATGTTATGAAAGTAGGTCTACACTATAATGACTTTTGCCGTAGCTGTGGCTCTGCGAATGAGGAAGAAACTGCTTCATCTCATGTGTCTGTGTCCATTTTTAACTAGAAGAAGACCTAAATTTAGGGCGTCTTTTCTTACCGGCCTGACGGATTTATTATACTGCAAATTAAAGAAATTAGCCAAGTTTATAAAATTGTTTGGTTGGTTAATCTTTAGTTAATGGGGAAATCTTTTCTTTTATGGCGTGGCTCATATGCTGACTCTAGTTTATATATGAACAAACGCCAATCCTGTTGTACTTCAACGGGCCATAATTCGAGTTCAAAGGGGGTTTTGGGTACAAGGGCGTCACGAAAACCCAACTTAATCTATGATAGAAGAACATATTAAATCTTTTTGTACACTCTACGTTTCTGGTTATTATCTACATATCCTGCAATTATCGATTATAATTTCGTCTTCATTGGTTATGCATTCTTTATAGTTGTGCGTTAAAGTTCTAGAATTATAATTTATAACAATCAAGATCCGGTTTAAATATGTTATAAAAAGATATAAAATCCTTTTAACTTAATAAAAATAGATATGTTATTAGATATTAAGAAATTGATTTTTTCGTTATTATTAAGAGAACAAATAAAACTGTGTCAATAATATAAACTGACATCGCTCTATAGGTGATGATCAAATTAATATTTTATGTTTTTTTTAACAACAAAGCGGCCATTTTTTTTATTAATATCTAACAAAGTATAGATTTGAGTTCAGTATTGTTTAACAAATACTCAATTAATATAATTTTAAAGAATAAAAATATTTTTTAAATTTTATTAATAAATTTACTCAGAAAATATTTAGCATTAAGATGAACCTACAGGATTTACTATTCGCAATGCAATAAAAATTTTTGTTCAAATGGCAGTATTTGTGATGTTCAGAACCAAATCAATCAAAAACATAAACGTTCTGCTAAAAATATATATTCTGCAAACTAAAGCGTAAATCAAAATAACCTCGTACATATGAACTTGAAGACAAATTTCTTCGAAAATTCTTGAAACGTAATTGTATATCAAGTCGTATAAACTTCAGTAGATGTAAGACCTTGAATCAAATGACCATTTATTGGTTAAAACATTATAAGATTAAGAGCCACCTAAAAAAAATTTAATATTTTATAAAAAGGTCATCTTTAACGCAGATTGGGTTTGGTCGAAAATAATTAAAATTTTTGTTCTTGTTTCTTTAAAAGCTGTATCGCATGTTATATATATTATCACAGCATTACTTTTAAATGTTTTTCGAAAAAAATATTTAATAAAAATATTTTTTAAACATTTTCTTTAACACTTTCATGATTTTTATATAATTGTATTTACTTCTTTATATAATGAAAATATATAATGTATTTTATTTATTTGTTCTTGAAATTAAATGCTGTGCTTAGTTTAATATTTATTTTATTTTCAATCACAAAACAATGCCCAAGTGAATATTATAGCCACAAATTTGTTAACCTGTAATATATTCAGATTAATTTCATCATATTCATCATATTCTGAATAAATTTAATTTCAATTATTATTCTATAATATTATATTTAACTTAATAATTGCTTCCTTACAATTTGATTTTTTAAGAAAACTTTGCGACAAGGTAATATAGGTTAACATTTCTCAAAATTTCGAACAAGAATGAAATGTACTCAGATTCGATAACGTTATTTTGCCAGACATTCTATGTTTAATTCAAATATTTTATTGTTTTGTTTAATTATTAGATACATTGTACAATTAAATAGAATTTGAATTTGATTTCACTTAATTAATTTTATATATCAGATTCCAAATTTAGATTTTGCAATTTTTATTCTGCAATTATCAGTAAGTTATTTTAGTAACCGAAAACATAAAAAGACTTTAAAACATAATTACCAATAATTAATTAAAAAATTTGTATATAGATGTTATAAAAGCGCTTCTTTATGCATTTCTTTGAATAGTTTCGCTCTGAAAGGGAAGTCATTGCAGTGAAAAAATGAGAAATAGGGGTTAGTAAGACGTGAATATGAAATTATATAATTTCTAAAATAATTTGTTTTCTTTTATAACACACAATATTTTCAGATACATACTTTCTATTAGTCTTTGGATTAATTATAGCCTTATGTAATGCAGCAAGCCTCAATAAACGTGACCTTACTATTTATCAGAAGTATGTATGTTATAATCAAGCCGACAATTCCAAGCATTTAGTACCGGGCAGCTGTTCTCAATACTACACTTGCAATGGAGGCATAGCCACTTTAAGTAAATGTCCTTTGTTCTTTGATCCGATAGCAAGTGCATGCGTTCAAACATCTAGTTGTGTTGAAGACAAAAACTTGGATAACACAATTCCAGATGGCTGCACTGGTGTTTGTTATGGCCAACCAGATGGATATATTGTTTCTTCAACAAATCCCGCAGAATATTACCTCTGTTCTAATAACGCTGTTTCAAGTACTGGTCAATGTGCTAATGGGCAGCAATTTAATTTATCGAGTAAACAATGCGAAGCTGCATCCAGTATTGTACCATGTGCAGCTACAACTACTCAACCACCATGCGCTCCAACGACTACCTTTTGCATTGAAAACACAACAGCACGTCCTACTACAATTACTTTTACCCCATCTACCACCAGCACGACCACAAGTACAACAACAAAACTAACAACAACTACTCAACCAACGACCACGACAACTACTACAACAACTACTCAACCAACGACCACGACAACTACTACAACAACTACAACCACCACAAAAACAACTACCCCTACCACAACTAGCACAACTACAAAAACTACGACCACAACTACTACGACGACGACAACAACCATTCCACCAACGACAACAACAACAACTACTACGACAACAACAACCACTTGCCCGACGACAACAACTACCACAACAACCACAACAACCACTACTACTACGACCACAACTACTACAACCACAACTACGACTACAACCACTCGCCCAACAACTACTACTACTACAACAACCACAACCACTTGCCCAACGACCACAACAAGTACCACTACATCATCCACCACAACAACAACTACTACTACTACGACAACAACTACTAAAACCACAACTACGACAACAACAACAACTTCTACTACCACAACGACCACAACAACCACTTGTCCAACGACAACAACAACTACCACTACTACTACAACCACAACTACAACCACTCGCCCCACAACAACTACTACTACGACGACCACAACTACTACAACAACTACGACTACCACAACAACGACAACAACAACCACTTGCCCAACGACAACAACAACTACCACAACAACCACCAAAACAACCACCACAACAACTACTGCTACTACGACTACAACTACTAAAACCACAACTACGACAACAACAACCACTCGTCCAACCACTACTACAACTACTACTACCACTACTACGACCACAACAACCACTTGCCCGTCGACAACAACTACCACTACTACTACGACCACAACCACTACAACTACAACTACGACTACAACCACTCGTCCAACAACTACTACTAGTACAACGAGAACCACCACAACAACTACTACTACCACTACTACGACAACAACAACAACTTGCCCAACGACAACAACAACTACCACCACTACAACGACCACAACTACTACAACTACGACTACTACTACTACGACCACAACTACTAAAACCACAACTACGACAACAACAACCACACGTCCAACCACCACTACAACTACTACTACCACTACTACGACCACAACAACCACTTGCCCAACGACAACAACAACTACCACTACTACAACGACCACAACTACCACAACTACGACTACTACTACTACGACTACAACTACTAAAACCACAACTACGACAACAACAACCACACGTCCAACCACCACTACAACTACTACTACCACTACTACGACCACAACAACCACATGCCCAACGACAACAACAACTACCACTACTACAACGACCACAACTACCACAACTACGACTACTACTACTAGAACCACAACTACGACAACAACAACCACACGTCCGACCACCACTACAACTACTACTACCACTACTACGACCACAACAACCACTTGCCCAACGACAACAACAACTACCACCACTACAACGACTACAACGACTACAACTACCACAACTACGACTGGGACCACAACTACGACAACAACAACCACTCGTCCAACTACAACAACAACTACTATTACCACTACTACGACAACCACAACCACTTGCCCAACGACAACAACAACTACCACTACTACAACAACCACAACTACCACAACTACGACTACTACTACTACGACCACAACCCCTAAAACCACAACTACGACAACAACAACCACGCGTCCAACCACCACTACAACTACTACTACCACTACTACGACCACAACAACCACTTGCCCAACGACAACAACAACTACCACTACTACAACGACCACAACTACCACAACTACGACTACTACTACTACGACCACAACTACTAAAACCACAACTACGACAACAACAACCACACGTCCAACCACCACTACAACTACTACGACCACAACAACCACTTGCCCAACGACAACAACAACTACCACTACTACAACGACCACAACTACCACAACTACGACTACTACTACTAGAACCACAACTACGACACCAACAACTACTCGTCCAACGACTACAACAACAACTGCTACTACCACAACGACAACAACTACTTGCCCCACAACCACAACCTCGACAACTACTGCAACTACAACCACTCGGCCATCGACAACAACAACAACAACTACTACAACCACAAGTACTACCGCAACAACAACGACAAATATTATTACAACTACAAAAGCCTGTTCTACAACAACCGTAAAGCCTTGCTCTGAAACGACTACACCACCATGTGGAGCACAATTATCTCAATTAAAACAGCCGACAAAACAAAATCTAAAAGGCGAATCTATGGAGCATCTTCAAATTGCTGTTGAAACAACTGTGTGTGTTGGTCTAGAAAACGGAATATATATCAGATCTTCTAAGCATTGTAACACTTATTATTACTGCTGGAATCAAAGGGGTCTTCCAATGACTTGCGGTAACAAGCACTTTAATATGATCACCAAATCTTGTGATGATCCAATTAGTGCTGGCTGTAAACTTAAAAACTGAATCTTGAGACACTCCCAAACTGTTTTATTAATATTCCATAGAAACTTTGTATGAATAATTGATATGTTGAATGTAAAATACAATATTAATAATATAGTATATGAAAAATAAAAAACAAAATAATCTGAACTACGATTTCTATTTTACTTTTACTTTTACTATAGCTATATAAACAATATTTATGTAAACTTTTCTGATATGTCACATTCTTGGAAGATTATGTCACTGTGATCTGGGATCTCATAAACATATAGCTATGACTTCCAATAATAATTTAACTGTTGTAATAAATGTGATTTTCTAAATTTTAGGATAAGATAGACCAACATTGAAGTTATATATACATATATATTTAATACTTCGGGGATCTGAGGTCAATTATTGCTTAGTCTGATGAAGTAATAAACAATAATCCAGTCAAGACTTAAAGAGGAGTTTTAAAAATACCTCGAGTTAAGAAAGAGTAAAAGTGCTCAAGTGCACTGGTTCAAATAGCTTCAACATAATTAAAAGTAATTTGTAGGTAATCCTTCGATATGGATTTTTTGGGCGGAAATAGTCCGAAACATTTACAATATTTCAAATAGCACAAACATTAACAGCAGAAACTGAAAAATGGAAAAACAATATGAGGAGATCCAGTCAGATGTGAATATATTAGAACCTCATAACGAAGCCTTGGTGACTACCGAACAACTAATAAATATTAAAACTTAAATTATTGGTGAATACTCCAGCTACTCTTAGGCAGTGACGATTGCTCTAAGGTGCGGAGGAGTGCGATGAACACCCTAATATAATTTGCAAAATGTCAAATTATATATATAAAATTATTAAATATCTTTACATCCAGAATTAATATTATTTATTACATTTTTATATATATATCTTTAAAGATTAAAGTTTTATCAAAAACAATTAAATATAATTGTCTATGAAAACTCATTTAATTTGCTTCTGTTAGCTTCTATACTTGTTAGTTATGTTCATATATTTACAGCACAAATCACGAAACATTTCTATTATATTTCGTCTCTCCCCTTTGTGTGCAAAGAAGTTGGCCGCACATTCATACGTTGCATATGAATAAAATAATGTGCGTGTACTCCCGTTCATAATATCAGAAATAGAGATTTATATAGTGGGAATTGTATGAGAGTAATTTTCTGTTCTATTCGAATATCAACTGCATGCATACGAATCCAACATGATGATTTGCCAAAGTGGTTGCATGAGCGGCTGAAGTTTGCAGCCATGGTTGCCACTTGAAAATTTTTTTCTGTACCAAAATTGGTTTAAAAAGGTACCATTTCTGTAAAAAAAGGTCCAAAATTTTTTTGGACTTTTTTGTTTTTTCGTTCTGTGTTTTTCATAGTGTTATAAATGAACAAAATATAAAATAGTGCAAAGTTGCATTTATAAAAAAAATTAATTGGAAATATCCACAATAAAGTTGGGTCGTCAAAAATGTACCATTTTTTGAATATGAGTACCAAACGAAAAAAAAAGTACCAATTTTGGTACTAAAGTACCATAAGTGGCAACCGTGTTTGCAGCTCATCTCACCATACATTTCTATCACATTTCGTCTCTCCCCTTTTAACAGTAGCACCAACGAATTTCTGTCGCTTACTGTGCGGAGAACTTGTCCGCACATTTATACGTTGCTAGTGTACTAGTGGGTTTGATTTTGTTTGATCACTGCATAAACATGTATGTTTCCAAGTACAAACTATTTTGTTTGAAAAAAGTTGGTTTGATGTTACGGGAAGAATTATGTGAAAAGTTTTGTTTCTTCCATATTGATATAATATTAAATTTATATATAAATTATTAATTTAATTTGTTTAATATGTTATTTTGTTAATGAATTGTTAATATAATATTGCGATTATATTGTTGCCTAATATAATATAGTTATTATTAATAAAACATCTCATATATTTTAATTTAAGTGGTACATGTAAAAACAACATTAAAGAAGGGCCGCACACCCTTCCAGATAAGGGACGCGTCGTCACTGCTCTTAGGGTACGTGAAAATTGTACCGCTGAGGGCTCTAAAATCGATTATGAATGAAAATATTAACGAAAAAAAAACTTCGATAGCAAATACCTTTAATTTGATGGTTCCGCATCACTGAAACTGCTTTGAAGTATCAAATAAAAGTTTTGATAATACCTACCAAGAAAACGCTTAAAGGTGCAATGTCAAAAATTATTTCTATATTATGTTGAACAGACTTAGAGCAAGATAATATTGTAGGAAATGATATTGACGAATGGCATCTACAATATTAATACAATATATGAACTTTTATGGAACTGTTCTACACATAAAACTTTTCGAAGTACTCAATGAAAAATTACCTAGGCATGTGTTAATGAACAGAAGCAAATTTAGATAAAGATATGTCAATTTTTAAATAATTTATCACCATAGATAATATCGCATGTGAAACCGAAATGTTATAAAATTCAATAGACGAAGGACAGAAATCAGAACGAGATAAAGATAATGGCAAAGCAAAACTAAAATGCATATATGTGGCGTCAAAAAACATATATTTCTTAAAACAATGAAAGAAAAGAGTAGGATCTTTGTAAGCAAGTCCGGAGTGTTATCCTTTTTTAGTAGAGGTCGTGAAGGTCTATATTTCGCTATGTAATCATAGCGAACTATGTAAAACAGACAGTTGCGAAAAATAGCACCATTGCCTATCGTACAACTTTAAGTCATATAACACGTCCGAAATAATTAAAACTGGTTTTAGCCAATACTCCAAAACCAGAAACACCAAACAAATTAAATATAATATAAGCCCAATCGGCCTACCGGAACCTCCCGAAGTTTTTGCCCAAACATGGGGCATTTAGTGATGTCCCAAGACTACTTAAATACTTTGATAGGTACAAAGCTTAATTTTGGTGTCCAAAAATCTACATTATTATCTAGATTCCAAAATTTTTTCATGGTTTTTTTATCTCAACTGAAAATTTTTCAATTTTATATATCTTAATAGTACATATCTTACAAATTGATATTAAGTATACATAATTATGGAATAAAATAACAATCAATATCAATTTTGTTATTTTCAAATCAAGTTCTATCGTCTGCGTTTGACACTAACTTAGAGCTAGTGTCAAGCTCCAGCGAATTTTCTGTTGGACTCGCAAAGGGTTCAAAAATTTTTTTTATATCTTCAGAAAAAGAAACAACTCATACGAGACGATGTCAGGTGCGTACAATACTGTGTCCGGTAAGTATATATAATAAATTAAACCAGTTCTATGTCACCGATGCAGGACTGAAGATACCCTTACTAGAAAGTTTTATTTTTAATATGTTCTATAAATCCAGTGCAGTTTTTATTTTTAATTTTTATTATAATAGAAATATAATAAAAAGTAAAATTACAAAATCAATTTAAGTTTAAAAGTACTATATTTTTAAATCAATTAATAGAGCGCACTTTAAAGTGAATATAAAATTGTTTGTTGTAAAAAAAAATATAAAAATTTGCTTGGCAATTGACACCAGTTGAATAAGTAATTAATTTGACACCAAATAAATAGTTTCTGTGCCTGAAATTCTAAATCAAAATATATAGCAAAATTACATGGAGTTCTATATTCATAAAGCTCAGTTAACCTAACGTTTTGGCATCAAATAATATGTTCATTAGCTTCAAGTGTCCAATGTTTTTGGTGATTCTGCTTTATTCTATTGCGTTCCCAGATGAAGATTAGGCCATAAATTTTTTTGACTGATAAATACTAAAAATATTTTCAAATAAATTTTAAAAATTTTATACAAATATATATCAATATAATAATAATACATTAAAGTTCTGTTTTCTGTTGATTTTCATCAAATAAATAAGCGTGAGTAAATCGGTGAAAAGCTGTCGTTACTTATAAATACTATTGAAACCACCTAGACTAGACCAGCGTAGATAAGAAAATCCGCATGTAATTCAAATCAAATTATGTATTGAGCTAAAGCTTTTGAACGAATTAAAAAAATTTTGTCGCTAAATATAATATCGGTCAGTAATATATATACTAAACCTCCTTAATTTTTGTCTAAAAACAAATTTTTACAAAAGAAGCTCTTATGGAAAATAGTGCAATCTCGATTATACATAAATCTGAAATATTTAAAAACTTTTGAAACTATTATGTTATATTGTTTAAGCCAGTTTTTTAGCATCCTATATTAAATACTTATATTTATCTTTCATATATTTTATATACAAAATTAAAAAAAATTGTATTTAAATTATAATCAAATTTTTTTTTAAAAATATATTTCAATAATTGAATTTTGATTCTTATGCGGTGGCTAAAACTCAAGATTTGATAAATAAAATATTTAGAAAACGTGTGTCAGAATTCTCTATTATCAATATGTAAATTTTTAATCAAAAATAATGTATAAAGTAAATAAATGATAACTTTACCAACTCGAAATTCTGTGTGAAACAGCGTTTATACAAAACATCGCTTCACATTCCCTATATACTCCAAAATAAAAATATATGTTATTATTAAAAATTTTTAAAAAGAAATTCACTAAAATAGCGAAAAGATTTTGCAAGATATGAACAAATGAAACTTGTAGCTGATTTTTTATCGATGCTTCTAGTTTGAGTATTTTATGCAAATAATTAAAAATAAAACAGAAATCGAGAAATCGAGGAACTTCAAAAATTTATTACAAAGATAAGAGCAAAAGTCTATAAATTACGCTATGAAATCTAACAATAAAACAGTTAACAAAAATTTTGTGTTCAACATTTTTCAAAAAAAAGTGAAAAAGAACAATAAGAAAATATGAAGTTCATTTTGGCAATTTTGGCCATTTGCATCATAGAAACAAGCACAATGGATGGCAGAAGAGTAAGCAATTATCAAAATGGATTTCCAAATCGAACGGAAAGAATTGTAACTTAGGACTATGAAATATTTTTATTATATCGGAAACATGTTCTTGATGCTTTATTAATACTTATAATAATCATGAAAATAAAATAATAAACAGAAATGATATAAGACGAATGTATACCACTGAAAGGACGGAAGATCTATATTGATATACAAAATTAATATAAAACAAAAAAGTGATACATAATTAATATCAGATATAGGTGTGGAATAAAGTACTTAAAATATAATACAGTTATTTAATCGAATATTATAACTAAAACTACTAACTGCATATATTTTTTATTAACACACTGAGTATGAGTGACATATTATTGTGTAAAGCACTGTAATGTCTGTTCAAATACGGAACTAAATTCTTATAAGTCTTCCATATGTGAATCTTATAAAACCAAGACTTTTAAGTGGAAAGTAATAGTAACACATGTCGTAGTAGTTTTTTATACAATTATATATGAGTAAAATGAAATTTTTTGATGATGTACAACACATCAATTAACCAGTATTAATTTTGTTTCTTTTTTATTAACTGACATAATATCTATAAACAAAGCAAAATATATTTACATAAAATTTTCGACCAAATCACTGGGAAGTGGGATATTTTAATAAGAGCACTACGGTAACACAACAAACATATAGGCGATTAAAATGTGGCCAACAGTTTTACCCTTAAATCTATATATACCTTCTGCTCAAAAAGTACTCGGATTTTGTAAATAAAACACACAAATTTAAATTTTATTCCAAATTAATTTTATCTCCTTCAAAATATGCTCCTTCTGAAGCGATACACATATGCCAACGCTTAACCCAATCTTCCACACACTTTTCGTAGGCCCGTGAAGGTATGGCTTTCCTTTCCTTCGGCGAATTCTCTTTTACTGATTCAATCGACTTAAAACGCTTACCACGAAGAGGCAATTTGAGTCGCATGGATCCAGATCTGACGAATATGGTGCCTGAGCGATGACAGTGGTGCCGTGTTTCGTCAAAAAATCGCGTACAACAAGAATTTTCCATAGTAAAAATTGCTAAATGCACTTGAGGTAGTCTCACATTTACAGCTGCTGTAAACAAACTAATTGACAAATGGGACAGATGGGAAGAAAGGGTGTACCAACATAACAAAAAAAAATTTTTGAAAAAGGTCTATTACTTAAGGAGTAGTTAACAAACAACAAAATCCTGATACTTTTTGAGCAGAAGGTAAATAGAGGAATAGATAAAAATATATTTTACTCCAAGGTTCTATCATAATTTGACTAGAATGTTTTGGTAATTCACTTTACATTTTCTTACGAGCTAATAGTGCATATAGATTTAACAGATACAGATTTGATTACGTATACATAATAATTCGTCAAACTGAACTATTAGTTGGTGGGTTTTGGAATGCTTATTACACAGTAATAAGTATAATTTTCAACTCCTTTAGCTTATTAATATATTTTCGAACTATTATTCTAATTGCATATTAAAGAAATGTGCAATGGTATAAAAAACTTATAAGTAAATAAAAGGAAGTTAAATCAAAGCAAATCAAATTGGTAGTATAAAAACGTATATTGTGTATTGTAAAATTTAACATCCAAACACTCATTTTAAAGTGTTTTTCATAATCAATTTATACAGAATAGAATATATAATTGCCTTTGTGAGGGTGTTTACAGCTTTGACGAAGACAGAACTAATCTTCCTTCTTATACGAAAAAGGTTTTTAGTTCTCATTGATAACTTATTTCAGTGCAGGAATTGTTATTTTTTGACATGGTGTTACTACAGACCGTATTGAACATATATATCTATACCCAATTCTTCAGCAAAATCTGTCGAACCTTCTAAAAGGCATCTTTTCTTTTATTGATCTTATATATATATGATAAAACACATATATGTTTTATTTCTGTTATATAAGCAGAGATACCAGAAAAATGCAAAAACTCTTAAATAAAGTGAAAATATCAAAAGATAGATATTATTAAATTGTACTACAAAGTTTTATTTTAATACCTTAGTAGCACTTAATTTATTTATTAGATTTTTAAAATATAATATAAGATAAAATGTAACTGACAACATTGATGAAAAGATGATGCTACTATCATAATGATGAACATAATCAAATTTTTATATATTTTCTAAACAATTTAAGGAAAAACTAACTAAAACTTAATTAAAGTGCAATATCTAATTCATATCTCAGATGAAAATAATATTGTGTTAACTACCAATTGTATTAAATGTAACTTTAGGTAGATATTGTATAAAAATAATAAGGACCAAATAAGAAATAGTATAATTCTAATCGAAAAAAATTTGTATGAAATATTTGCAGTTGCTTCCATAAATGTACTCAGCTCTTTTTAAAGCAAACAAATCTCATATACAAAATCTCGATTACAAAAAAAAAATAAGTAAAGTATGTTTTTATCAATGACTTAAATATTACTTATTACCATAAAAAGTCTTAACTCATTTTGTTTTTTGATATTTTAGAACATTGGAAACCGATTTCCACCTATTTGTAACAACAAACACAAAGTCATGATACCTATGCCTGGTTCATGTAGAGCGTTTTATATATGCAAACACGGCAAAGCTATAGTAAGCACTTGTGGAGGATTTTATCATTTTAATCCCCGAACTGGAGTTTGCGAGCACCCAACTTTAGCAGGTTGCATTATAAACAAACCATTGGAAATAGAACCGCCTATAGAAAATAACGATTATAAACCAATTATGCCTATGTTACCTGTGATAAATGAACCAATACAAAATGATGAAGAAAAACTAAATAACAGAAAGTTAATAAGGGAATCTATTCCAAAACCACAGCATCCAGATGAAGTAATAGCAGATCTTTCTGCTGGACCGATTTGTGTACAATTTCAAGATGGCACCCTGTTACCAAAAATAGGTTCATGCACACAATATTTTGTATGTGTACGCAAACGACCATATCGTCGTACATGTCCTAAACTACTGCACTTCAATCCAATCTTAAAACTATGTCAATCACCGCTTTTAGCACAGTGTGAAAAGAATCCAATATTACCAACGAAAATACCTTCGAAGCCAAACAAATGTTCACGTGTACCTGATGGTACTTTGCTACTTCATGACAAAGAGTGTGAGAAGTTCTTTAGATGTTCCCATGGTAAACTAATCGAAATGAGATGCCCAGTTGGTTTGCATTTCAATGAACCACATCAGCGTTGCGATTGGCCGAGAACGGCTAAATGCGTAATACCGAAATAAAATATTATTATATAAATGTACATAATGTATATTTAGTTATCTGAGTAAAACTAAGCAATTATAAAACTTATTTCTTAATTTATTTTAAATTTATTTATTGGAAGATGAAACGACGAAGAAAACTATAGTATAAAAATAAATTCCATTGTACTTCTTTTAGTTAAAAAATGTTTAATTTTTCTTGGGGTTAAGTTATTTCTGATGAATTTGTAACATATAGATATGGGATTTCACTTTGGTGGAAGAGCATTTGAAGTTTAGTTTAAAATCTTTATAAATAAAAGGGACCAAAGTTTCAATATGTATGTCGATAACGGTGTGCTTTAGTCCAATTATTAAATGTGATATTTAAAAAAATTATACTGGTAGAGTTTGAGTGACTACTAAGACAGAAAACTATCAATTTTATTGTTGAGGCAACTTAGATATAAAACACTTTATCTATATATTGTAAAATATTTATCTTAATTAGAAGCTAACTTGTACAAGTAATTAAACGTTTACGTGAGTAGTTCTATGCTCTAAATATCATCCTTAAGAATTTTGTGTACCTCGCCTTTAACTATTGCTTAATTACTTATTACTAAAATTTTGAAATATTTTCTACTTTTTGGTTTTTTATTGTCATTTAGTATTGTTTATTAAAAGCATAATTAGTCTGTGCATTTTTTAACAGTTTTGGTCCTTAGTGTAAAGTCTGATTGGTTATAGATTTAACTGTTCTGCTCTATATAGTTCAGTCACAATATATTTTCGCATAATTATTTTTAGCTATAATATATGGATAATATTTGCAATGGATTGTTAAAAATTTTAAAAACCCTATGGTAGGCACAACAACTGCATCTCTAATAATTCGAGAATGCCGCCCTTCCCTCAATGAATTAGCTACGTTTCTTGAGCAATTCACATGGGATTCTGAACATTAAGATATGTTGGTCAATTGTAGGGCGGACGAGGTTGCCTAAGCAGGCACTCTGCTCCCTTAAACTCACTTCTCAAATACAACCCATTTGCAAAAGTTTAACTGCCAATGAAACAAAAATCTCTAAGCATAGCCAAGCAAAATTAGTCGTACGAATCCGGCTATTCAATCTCTAGGTTGACCTGGTCTAAACGGGACAAAAAACGTACCAGTCAGCTACTTTTACTAAGGCGTTAATTGCTCAGCACTACTGTATCGATAGTTAGGTCACTGCATAATAAGAAGATATGTTATGAAAGTAGGTCTACACTATAATGACTTTTGCCGTAGCTGTGGCTCTGCGAATGAGGAAGAAACTGCTTCATCTCATGTGTCTGTGTCCATTTTTAACTAGAAGAAGACCTAAATTTAGGGCGTCTTTTCTTACCGGCCTGACGGATTTATTATACTGCAAATTAAAGAAATTAGCCAAGTTTATAAAATTGTTTGGTTGGTTAATCTTTAGTTAATGGGGAAATCTTTTCTTTTATGGCGTGGCTCATATGCTGACTCTAGTTTATATATGAACAAACGCCAATCCTGTTGTACTTCAACGGGCCATAATTCGAGTTCAAAGGGGGTTTTGGGTACAAGGGCGTCACGAAAACCCAACTTAATCTATGATAGAAGAACATATTAAATCTTTTTGTACACTCTACGTTTCTGGTTATTATCTACATATCCTGCAATTATCGATTATAATTTCGTCTTCATTGGTTATGCATTCTTTATAGTTGTGCGTTAAAGTTCTAGAATTATAATTTATAACAATCAAGATCCGGTTTAAATATGTTATAAAAAGATATAAAATCCTTTTAACTTAATAAAAATAGATATGTTATTAGATATTAAGAAATTGATTTTTTCGTTATTATTAAGAGAACAAATAAAACTGTGTCAATAATATAAACTGACATCGCTCTATAGGTGATGATCAAATTAATATTTTATGTTTTTTTTAACAACAAAGCGGCCATTTTTTTTATTAATATCTAACAAAGTATAGATTTGAGTTCAGTATTGTTTAACAAATACTCAATTAATATAATTTTAAAGAATAAAAATATTTTTTAAATTTTATTAATAAATTTACTCAGAAAATATTTAGCATTAAGATGAACCTACAGGATTTACTATTCGCAATGCAATAAAAATTTTTGTTCAAATGGCAGTATTTGTGATGTTCAGAACCAAATCAATCAAAAACATAAACGTTCTGCTAAAAATATATATTCTGCAAACTAAAGCGTAAATCAAAATAACCTCGTACATATGAACTTGAAGACAAATTTCTTCGAAAATTCTTGAAACGTAATTGTATATCAAGTCGTATAAACTTCAGTAGATGTAAGACCTTGAATCAAATGACCATTTATTGGTTAAAACATTATAAGATTAAGAGCCACCTAAAAAAAATTTAATATTTTATAAAAAGGTCATCTTTAACGCAGATTGGGTTTGGTCGAAAATAATTAAAATTTTTGTTCTTGTTTCTTTAAAAGCTGTATCGCATGTTATATATATTATCACAGCATTACTTTTAAATGTTTTTCGAAAAAAATATTTAATAAAAATATTTTTTAAACATTTTCTTTAACACTTTCATGATTTTTATATAATTGTATTTACTTCTTTATATAATGAAAATATATAATGTATTTTATTTATTTGTTCTTGAAATTAAATGCTGTGCTTAGTTTAATATTTATTTTATTTTCAATCACAAAACAATGCCCAAGTGAATATTATAGCCACAAATTTGTTAACCTGTAATATATTCAGATTAATTTCATCATATTCATCATATTCTGAATAAATTTAATTTCAATTATTATTCTATAATATTATATTTAACTTAATAATTGCTTCCTTACAATTTGATTTTTTAAGAAAACTTTGCGACAAGGTAATATAGGTTAACATTTCTCAAAATTTCGAACAAGAATGAAATGTACTCAGATTCGATAACGTTATTTTGCCAGACATTCTATGTTTAATTCAAATATTTTATTGTTTTGTTTAATTATTAGATACATTGTACAATTAAATAGAATTTGAATTTGATTTCACTTAATTAATTTTATATATCAGATTCCAAATTTAGATTTTGCAATTTTGATTCTGCAATTATCAGTAAGTTATTTTAGTAACCGAAAACACCAAAAAGGCTTTAAAACATAATTACCAATAATTAATTAAAAAATTTCAGTTTTTCTCCTATAAAAGCGTTACCTAATGCATTCTTCTGAATAGTTTCGCTTTGTAAGGGAATTCATCACAGTCGAAAAAAAATGAGGAATAAAAGTAAGTAAGACCTGAATATAAAGTCTTGTGTTTTTTAAATTATATGTTTTCTTTTATAAATGTTTCAACACATTTTTTATATTTTCAGATACATACTTTCTGTTAGTCTTTGGATTAATTATAGCCTTATCTAATGCAGCAACCCTCAACAAACGTGACCTTACTATTTATCAAAAATTTGTTTGTAAGAATCAAGCCGACAATTCAAAACTTTTAGTACCCGGCAGCTGTTCTCAGTACTACACTTGCAATGGAGGCGTAGCCACTTTAAATCAATGTCCTTTGTTCTTTGATCCGATAACAAGTGCATGCGTACAAACGTCTAGTTGTGTGGAAGACACAAGCTCGGGTAATACAATTCCAGATGGCTGCACTGGTGTTTGTTGTGGTCAATCCGATGGATATATTGTTTCTTCAACAAATCCCGCAGAATATTACCTCTGTTCTAATAACGCTGTTTCAAGTACTGGCCAATGTACAAATGGGCAACAATTTAATTTAGCTAAAAACCAATGTGATGTTGCATCAAATTGTCCAACGTGCACGGCTACAACAACTCAATCACCATGTGTTACAACTACTACTACTTGTTCTGAAACAACCACATCAATTGTTACTACTCCGACTACAACCACCTGCCCTACAACAACTTCACCTACAACTACAACAACTAAATCTACTACCCCAACTACAACTACCTGCCCTACAACGACTACACCCACAACTACAACAACTAAATCTACTACCCCAACTACAACTACCTGCCCTACAACGACTACACCTACAACTACAACAACTAAATCTACTACCCCAACTACAACCACCTGCCCTACAACGACTACACCTACAACTACAACAACTAAATCTACTACCCCAACTACAACCACCTGCCCTACAACGACTACACCCACAACTACAACAACTAAATCTACTACCCCAACTACAACCACCTGCCCTACAACGACTACACCCACAACTACAACAACTAAATCTACTACCCCAACTACAACCACCTGCCCTACAACGACTACACCCACAACTACAACAACTAAATCTACTACCCCAACTACAACCACCTGCCCTACAACGACTACACCCACAACTACAACAACTAAATCTACTACCCCAACTACAACCACCTGCCCCACAACAACTACAACGACTACAACTACGACAACAACCACGACCACAACAACAACAACAACTACTACAACCACAACCACGACTACAACCACTTGCCCCACGACCACAACTACAACCACAACAACAACTACAACCACAACAACAACTACGACTACGACAACCACCACAACTACAACTACCACCTGCCCAACAACTACTACTACAACTACAACAACTACAACCACAACAACAACTACTACTACAACAACCACCACAACTACAACTACCACCTGTCCAACAACTACTACTACAACTACAACAACTACAACCACAACAACAACTACTACTACAACAACCACCACAACTACAACTACCACCTGTCCAACAACTACTACTACAACTACAACAACAACAACAACTACTACAACGACAACAACAACTGCAACTACTACGACCACAACTACTTGTCCAACTACAACAACAACTACTACTACTACTACAACAACCACCACCACAACCACGACCACAACAACAACAACTACTACAACCACAACCACGACTACAACCACTTGCCCCACGACCACAACTACAACCACAACAACAACTACAACCACAACAACAACTACGACTACGACAACCACCACAACTACAACTACCACCTGCCCAACAACTACTACTACAACTACAACAACTACAACCACAACAACAACTACTACTACAACAACCACCACAACTACAACTACCACCTGTCCAACAACTACTACTACAACCACAACAACAACAACAACTACTACAACGACAACAACAACTGCAACTACTACGACCACAACTACTTGTCCAACTACAACAACAACTACTACTACTACTACAACAACCACCACCACAACAACTACCACGACAACCACAACTACAACCACTTGCCCAACGACTACAACTACGACTACAACAACCACTACAACGACTACAACCACAACTACTACAACAACAACTACTACTACCACTACAACTACTACGACAACCACCACTACAACGACTACCTGTCCAACCACCACAACAACAACTACTACCACAACCACTACGACCACCACAACAACCACAACGACTACCACCACAACAACAACTACAACAACCACTACTACTACGACAACAACCACTTGTCCAACGACCACAACTACAACGACTACAACCACGACGACAACTACAACGACTACAACCACAACAACAACCACTTGCCCAACGACGCCAACTACGACAACCGTAAAGCCATGCGCTGAAACGACAACTCCACCTTGTACTGGCGCACTATCTGCAGTAAAACAGTCAACAAAAATTACCCAACAGCTTGAAAATGTAGAACCCATAACTGGATCTGTGGAGTATCTTCAAATCGCTGTTGAAAAAACTGTGTGCATTGGTAAAGAAAATGGAGCATATATAAGATCTCCGAAGCAATGTAACACATATCACTACTGTTGGAATCAAATAGGTCTACCAATGACTTGTGGTAACAAGCATTTTAATATGATCACTAAATCTTGTGATGATCCAATTCGTGCTGGCTGTGAACTTAAAAATTGAACCATACACTATTAAACTGCTTTAATGATATTTTGTATAAAATATGAATGAATAAATTATCTACACTATACGTTTAATACAAATCGTTATGTACTAAATCAATGATTAATAAATAATTATTAAATAATTCCAATTGTCTATAATTCACTAGCAAGGAAATGTTTACAATTTTCTACTCTCAACCGAAATAAATATATAAATTTTTTATATGCGCCAGAGAAGTGCAACGAGTCATTGGCTGTGTTTCACTTATATTCACTCTGACTATTTTTTTCATAAATATTTCACAATAAAAGCAGTGGAGAGTTAGAGGCGGGTTAGCCTGAAGTACTCCTTCTACGAGTCGCAACCGGAGTCCTTTAGAAGACATTTACATTCTACATACTAATTTATTTTATAAAAATGCTTCTGAAGGCAAAACATCCTAAAAAATTTCATATTTATGTAGAATTTATAATAAAGGATAATAAACACAAACTCGGATTATATTCTTTCAAGTGGTCGAAATATCCGTGTATATATACACGGATATTTCTATATCAAGAAATATCGATACAAATCATACATAAAGAACATTTTTCTTTAGAAAACACCTAAGTCAGCCAAAGTGAATCACAACGTTCAAGTAATCTGCACATCCGAATAGCCGCTAAACATCAAGTACAAACTCTACAGACATCTTGCTGAATTCGTATCAGTTCGCAGCTTCAGATCATTTAGAAGAGACAACCAGCGTTCTTCAATCTATACCTTGATTTAATCAGTTATTTACAATCTAATCTAAACCTTCACAATGTTTATTCACTTCAAATTTTATTTAATTATACAAAATAATAATATACAGAAAAATATATATAAAACCTAAGCGTGTCTTTGAATATTTTGATTATATATAAAATTTATTGTAACGTTCCTGGAGAGGTTGAGGATACCCCAGCAAATCGAAACGACCCCAAGAAAGTGTTGTTACAATGCGTTTTAAAAAAGATAAATATTATAGATTCGTTGCTGTAATATAAAACATTTTTACTCAAGTATCTCACTAATATTCCCATGAACTTACTTAATTTTTTTGTTGAAAAATATTATAGTTTAAGCAAATAAGTCCTCGCACAATTTGGCAAGCGCTCTTCATTTCTAAAATCAAATTAACTTATTCCTTACCCGTTTACAATTTTTTTTATTTCCATCTATGTCCACGGATCGATTACCATTATTGTTATCATATATATACTCGTATTTATTTAAGGAGTATCATATACTAAGTGATGCAAATGTTTACAAATTCCTCAAAACAAACTCTGTTTTAGAGTTTTGCAACGGTTTCAAGGTTTTGCATCATGTGGTTGTACTGATAAAAATTGACAGCTTGTGCCACACTTTTATCATATTCTAAAAAGTACAGAACTGTTAGACCTCCATAATCCACAATAACTTTTTGTGATGCAATCATCGTTTAAACTCCAGTTTTTCATGGTTTGGGTAAATATAAATGAATTTGGAACTCCTTGGACATTTACTATCATGAGCAATATATTTAGCTGAGTATGCATTTCAACGATGACTGGACCTTAACACATCTACTACAGATGCAGTTTCTTGAAATTTTTCCACAATAGCAGAATAATTAAGTTTTTCTTAGTTTTTGAAATAAAAATAATTTTTAGCAAATTTAAAGAGGATCGAAAACATACATATATAAAGACAAAGACACATCTGTTACAGTGAATTATGTGCAATAACTGCTCATCTTCTACAGATCCATGTATGTGGATTAATGCTAGCTGTATATAGTTTCTTACAAAGTAAATATAGAAAACTAAGAAACGGTCACGTTATTTGACATCTAATAGATTATATGATAGGGAATGACTTACAAATGTAATTCAACCTTCAGTATTTAATTGATTTGTAAATATCCATATTGTGTATTTCAATATTGACATTTTTAGAGTTTATAATAATTTTTTTACTTATAATCTATATACATAAAAGAAAGTTGTGTTAGTTACACCACTCATAACTCAAGAACGGCTGAACCGATTTTAATTATCTTTGATTTGTTGGAATCATCTCCGCTCCGAATAGCAGAATACATTATAAAATATTGGAAAAATCCACTAATTTTAGCAAAAATAACAAATTTGTAAATGCTGTTTCAAACTGTTGACAGTTCGACAGTTTGAGTGATATTGATTTCTTTTTAAATTTTTTTTTCAAATATTTGAAATATTTGAAATTTCAAATATTTGAAATATTTGAAATTTCAAATATGATAAATTCAAATATAATAAATAAATATTGTTGTCAATATACCATCGAATCCACGTGACCTGTGGAACAAATATAAGGATAACATGTCAGAAGACATTTTACATAGAATTCGTGTCAGTTCAAGAAATCCCGATCTTGAGGAGAATGATGAAATGCATAATCAGGCTTTGCTCTTCATCGAAGACATATGTTGCCATACCTGCGGTAGTTTGTTAGTTAGATTAGGAATGCCAGCTGCTGATCGTGGAATAAATAACGCATTTAATCGAGAATTGGAACGTGAACGTGAATATGATCGACATGAATTAAACCAATCAGTTCAAACTAATGTGCCTCTATTGAATCCGCAACAGAAGGAAGTTTAACATTAATGAAAGCGATTGATGAAGAAAATGGTGGCTTTTTTCCTGGACGCCCCCGGTGGAACTGGTAAAACATTCCTCATGTCATTAATTTTGGCCACTGTTCGCGCGATATTCCGACATTGCGGTAGCAGTTGCTTCTTCTGGAATAACGGCTACATTGTTAGAAGGATGCCGTACGGCTCATTCAGCGTTAAAATTGCCGTTAAACCTTCAAACTACCGAGCAACCGATATGTAATATTGCGAAGCATTCTGCAATGGCTAAAGTTTCAGTAGCATCTAAAATCATCATCTGGGACGAATGTACCTATAATTTAATATAACATTTATTGACTGTTACGCTATAAATAAATATAAATAATATAAATAAAAACGCAACTGCAACTAAACTGCTTGGGAAACATCATCATAACTAAAATGATAGATTTTCCAGTGAGTATACTATATTTTATATAATTTTAATATTATGAAATAAGTGTATTTGACTAATATTTTTATAACTCACTCGAATACCACTTACTAATACATATAATAAAATCATTGATATGCGGTATTTATATGTATTGCTAATTTATTTGAAATTGTTTAATTTTGTTTTTTGAATTCTTTTTGAAAACACATACATTGTAATTTTTTATTACATTGTCTTATTTAACATCCGAAGTTAGTGGGCCAGTCGCAAACTCCCGATTTAACATTAAACATCAGAGGTGAAGAACAGCTACGATTTATTTCACACTCACATTGGCAAACAACATATTCTGAACTGCACGCATTCGATGAACTGGTAAAGTGAGTACCATCGGGCTTACCTACACAACGTCCACCGGCTGCGCAATATGTTCCAGAGGGGCCAGCGGATGGGCCACTGGGCGGTACATAAGTCCATTTACAGTTGGCTTTTTCAGGAAAATCACATTTTAAGGTAGATGCATCGAAATGCAAATTATTTGGGCAGGACATAATTATTTGTTTTTGATCATTACAAACTATATATTTCTGACAATCTCCTTGTTTACTAATTATACTTCCAGATGGCTGACCACAACATACTTCGTCACAACCAGTTGCTGGAGTAGTAATGGATGTTTTTGTGGTCGTGAAGATAACTGTTGAAGTTGCTGGTGTTGTTGCTGGAATTGTTACAGTAGTTGTTCCTGTTGCTGTTGCTACTGTTGTAGCTGGTGTTGTTTTGGTTGTTGGTGCAGCTGATGTATCATAAACGGTTGTTGTTGGTTTAGGTGTTGATATCCCTGTTGTTATAATTGCTGTTGTTGTAAATACTGGTTCAGGTGTTGTAGTCACAATTGGAATGGTTGTAGTATCATGAATTGTAGTTCCAGGAGTAGTTGCTACTGTTGTCGCAACTGTTGTTTTAGTTGTTGGTGCAAACGTTGTATCATAAACAGTAGTTGTTGGTTTAGCAGTTGATGTTCCTGTTGCTATACAAACTGGTGTTGTAGGTACCGGCTTAGGTGTTGTAGTCGTAGTCGTACCTGTTGTTATTGGTTTAGCTGTTGTAGGCGTAGTTGTTCCTGTTGTTATTGGTTTAGCTGTTGTAGTCGTAGTTGTTCCTGTTGTAATCCCTGTTGTTATACAAACTGATGTTGTAGGGACCGGCTTAGGTGTTGTAGTCGTAGTTGTACCTGTTGTTATTGGTTTATCTGTTGTAGTCGTAGTTGTTCCTGTTGTTATTGGTTTAACTGTTGTAGTCGTAGTTGTTCCTGTTGTTATTGGTTTAGCTGTTGTAGTCGTAGTTGTTCCTGTTGTTATTTCTGTTGTTATACAAACTGATGTTGTAGGGACCGGCTTAGGTGTTGTAGTCGTAGTTGTTCCCGTTGTTATTGGTTTAGCTGTTGTAGTCGTAGTTGTTCCCGTTGTTATCCCTGTTGTTATACAAACTGATGTTGTAGGTACTGGTTTAGGTGTTGTAGTCGTAGTTGTAATGGCTGGTGTTGTAGCAGCAGGAGTAGTATTATCATTGCAATCTGTGCAGCAAACATTACAGTCGCAATTTTCACATTCACTTAATAATGACGTGAAATTTTTAACACAACCAGCTCTAGACGGATAATCGCATACTTGTAGTTCTGCATTAAAATGTAATCCATTTGGACATTCTTGTATCAAAGCTGAGCGTGCACTGTTACATATCAAGAACTTGTTGCAGCTGTAAGAATGTGCTAAACGCGTACCAATTTCGTGTTTACTACAGGTCAATGCATTAATACTGCTTATACAAATGCTAAGTAGCAATATTATTTCAGCAACTAATATAAAATATTTTCACATTAATAATTTTTTTCTAATTTTTTTTTTTTATAATTACCTTGAATCATTGTTTAGAAACCAAGTATTGCAAGTAATGGCAATACTATATACTGAAGAAATTTTTTTCAAATAGCATTATATATACATATGTTGAAATCAATTAAGTAATTAATTTGCAAGACATTAACTATATCAATTCAATTTAAATGTCCAAAAAGTTATCGAAAAATAGATCTCCGATTGATAAAAAATTAAAACAGTGAAGTGTTTCTAACAAAAATTTATTTTTAAATAAAATCTGTTGTCAAACTGTTTTATTTATTTTAGTATATATAACGTCACTGGATTTTGTATTTTAATATTAAATATTGATATACCAAAGACAACTGATTTCACTTCTATTTAATTTAATTGCAATGTTCTCGGAACTGTAATCATCTATATATTTTCTTTCACTTTTATTATATACTAAGAAAATAATGTTCTTATAATATTTCATATAAAATATTATAACATCAAAATGGTGTCTATCATAATAGTTTAGTTTTTATATACTAAAAATAGAATTAGATTATAATTAATTAAAGACTTAGTTATATATTAATTATATGAATTGAAAACATGCTATACCGATTATTTATTTGTACGGAAAGTGATCTTTCGAATTTTAAACTAATTTAGTAGAGAGATTTCAAAATGTAGCGAACTACAACAACAAAAAATCTGTTTATATTATTTTAATCAATTGAATTTTTAGCTGACCATGGTTCCTGATTTCATTCTAATATAACACAATAAATGAATTTGTTAATGAACTTTCACAGTAAATTAAAACTCTAAAGTACGAATATACAAGTCAAGTACGGCTTTTGGTCTGTTAGCTTATGAACGCTGATATTGAGCTTCAAATTTAGCAGGGTATGAGTTCAACCCTTAGCACTTACAGCCTTAAAAAATTATTTACGAATAGTTAAATATAAGAGATGATTCCAAGACTACTGATGTTGGGTATTTGGCAATACTCGAAACACCTGTAGGGTCAGTCAAAAAATCAAATAATTAAAATAATAATTAAAAAATCTATTAGTTTCTATTAAATAAATACTCACTTCCGTCATAAACTGACGTTAAATTACAACTTATATTAAACTAATTTAGTGAATCACATTATTAAAAATATAATTTTTAAACAAGTGCAATGACTTTTAGGATCAAAAGTGCTGACTATATAGGCAACACTTATACGAACAAATTGTGAGTTTTCTTCTTTTCTGAACTAACATACTGTATTGAACTTATATCATAGGTCAGCATATATCTAAAATGATCAGACAAAAACTATATAAAATGATTTTAAAAAATAAGCAATGTGATAAGATCAGTACTATATAGATTGATATGTCTTATAAAGTGAGAATTTTTTTTCGATATTTTTAAGAAGGCAGGTTGTCAAAAAAAATATTGACCCAAAAAAACATTCGTCAGAAAACCAACTCGAAATTCAAATAGCTTTTCTTTTGTTAGAACCTTTCAATTTTAAAAAATATAAAATGGTATCAAACTTATTCTGTGTTTGTTGTTTTATTGAAATTATGATAGTTCAGAATTGATTTCTTTGGAACATCATTCTTTTTAAAGACGCAAGTAGGTAGTAATATTTTAAATTTTCAACATGATGGAACAGTTTCAATTAAAAGGTTTTTTTTGGCCAAATGTGTCGCATCTTGTGACAAAAAGAAACTAGAAGGTTTCGAACAGTAATGCAGAAGCAACAACAAAAATTTAAATAATTTATTAAAATTTGGCTGACTATACAACGCTGTTTTGAGTATTGCCAAGTACTCATCAATGATATTTTTTGAGAGATAATTTGAGCTTGAAGAACAAAAAAACGACACATAGTGCTACATCAGTAAAGTACGGTACTTGGTTGATTGAATTTGTCGAATTTTTTGCTTAAAACTATTACACAACGATTAATATAAAACATTATATGAATATTGGAGAACACTGAAAAGTATAACTGTAAGGTAGGAACACTATAACACTGTAATGTAAACACTATGATTATCAGATCATTACTAACTTATAGAAAGAAATTTAAAATTACATGTATATAGGTATTAATAGTACAGAAAGAGACACGAAAGAATTAATAGTAATCCTATAAGAGCAGAACGGCAACAAGTTAAAGTTTGATACTCGTACATAAAATTTGATGAACAATTAAAGATAAAGGACTGATTGTCCAATTGTAGCGTATTAAAGAAATTTTACATTTTCAATATGGTATGCAATATGCTTGAAAACATTTCATTAATTTTTTAAAACATAATAGATTTATAATTAGAATATATGCATTGATATTAATTTTAATGGGCACAACATATGATACCATCTGTTAATGTATGTAGGTAAGATTAGCGGTATTAACCCATTACGGCCCGGTACCAGATGCAGTGTACCGATTTTGATGAAAATTTGAACATTGTCATTTTTTTGCACTCATTGAGACAAATTTCAAATTTCATCAAAATGAAACTAACCGTTTCTGAGATATAGGATGGTAAGTTTACTTACCAATGGGCCAATACGTATAGTGATTTTTGTAAAAATAAAAATATTCGTTCAAATAAGTAAAAACTGATTTATTTTAAAAATTCAATTAAGTCTGATGCGAAATTGTAGAAAATGATTAACAAATGATATTTATTTTTATTTACAATTATAGTGTAATTTAAAAAAAATACATAGTACTAACTAATAATCTTACATTTGCTACAAATAGCTCGCATTATCGAGGACCACCTTGTACTTTTTCGGAGCAATGAACATTATTGTTAATATTATTAAAATATGATACAGTTGAGTCAAATATAGGTTCAGCTATCATCGAATTTGGAGATGTTGGTACGTACATCAACATGATATGATGCATATGATACAGTTGAGTCAAATATGGGTTCAACTATTACCGAATTTGGAGATGTTGGTACGTACATCAATAAATCGTTGAAAATATTTTCTCGAAACTGTAGTAGTGATAATGGCTTTTGCTTTTCATGAGCTTTAACCATAACATGCAGTTTTCAAGCATTCATCATTATACTTATTAATCATATTAAACCACCTAATTAATTTATAAACTGAGGCCACCACGATTTTTTAGATTGCACGGGTACTCGATAATTGGCCAAAACGTTGTCGTGCAAATCTACGCCGCCCATATGCCAGTTTTATTCCGCTATTACATTTGGAACTTTGATTATGATATATATCTTTTTAGAGCGATCATAACGTTTATGTTTTTTTTTGTGCATTCATTTTTTTATGGATAGTGAGAACTATAACCAGTGCATTGTCCTTCCAACGTATGGCTAATACCTTGAGTTTTACAATCAAAGGCAGTTGTACTCTCACCTTTAGGTACTCTCACTCTTTTAAGCTCATTTTCGTCTCATCGACTGACTGATACTGAAGCTCAAGCTGACCAGCAATATCTAATGAAACTGGAGCATGTTCATCTATGACATCGTCATCAGTTTGCTCAACATCACTAAAATCGCCAACATTATGCGGAATATCAACAGCGTTGACTTTAGAGAATAATTGTATTCTCCTAGCTCCTCTATTATTACTATTTTCTGTTTCTAAAATAGACGTCACCTCTTTAAAAGGTAGGCAATTTTCTTTTGGCAGTTTTTCACAACAACTCCATATATTTTATTTAATTGTAAATTTATCTAATTTTCGAGTTCAGGAAAAATGTCTCCCATTTGGATCCAATAATTGGAATAGAATTTCCTTTAATTTGTTTTCTCAAAATAAACCATATATTCACACAAAAAAATAATATAAAAGATAACTATTATATGCGAAGATATATACTCTATTAAAGTGCTGGTAAGTGAAATTATATGTCGGGCCGAAATGGGTTAAGCTTTTATCAATAATTTATCAATAATTATTATTTTCAATAACTTAATAATAATGTATCAACTGTTATTTTTCTTTTTATTAAATGTAATAAATAATTAAAAGACGTTTCCAATCTAAAATCTTGTGACTGATAAATTAATTAGTTTTTTCACTAAAAAAAATGATAATCATATAGCAAATCTTGTTACTTCAATTGTCATTATGGAATTTACTTATGTTCAAAACTATTCGAATTCATCGAAGTACCTGAATGCAGGTACTGTAAACTCCAATAAAAGGGTTTATTTAGTACTGTGATTTGTAAGCTTATAAAGAGTAAAGCTAGATTTATAAATTTTTAAATTATATCGCACTTTAATTTGCTTATAATGAGTATACTTTTTATGCTTTTAACCAATTTAAACTTATGTTAACGCTTATAATCCTTTAAGAACATTCAGATTGCACATATTATGTATTAAAAAGATTTTTGCAACATTTAAATTATTTGATTCAAAAGACACTTTATTTAGTTTATCCGTCAAACAGAGATTTAATAGATCTTTTGGTTAATATTTAAGATAGGGAACAAGACACTTGACTCGAATAATTACATGTTTTGCGATCGTTATCATAATACAATCCTGGTGGGCAATTCAATTCTATCTCACACTCACATTGACATATAACGTAACTACCGCAGCTTTTTAATGATGGAAACATAGTGCCTTCTTTTTCTTTTACACAACGACCACCGCTAGGGCATGCAAATCCAGAAGGTCCTGCATTAGGTCCTGATGGTGGTGTGTAAGGCCATGGGCAATCATAGTTTTGTGGGAAATCACAATATTGTCCCTTGGTATTGTAAACTAAGTTATTTGGACAAGTAATTGGCACTGCGCAACCATAATTACACTTATAGAACTGATTGCAAACACCGTCAACTGGGAAGAGTATACCTTCGGCCTGATTTTTACATATCGTTTCATTATTGCTGCAAGTAACATTTACATTTCCAGTTCCATAGTCATAGCCTGGTGGCCAGTCACAAGCATTAGCGGTGGCGTTAAAAACTAAATCACCAGGGCAGACAATTCCACCTGAACCGGCTGGCCAATCACAAACTTTAGATGTTATATTGAATTCTGTACCAATTGGACAATCCATTGGAATTTCACAACCACATTGACAAACAATATATCCGGTAGTACTATTATCCTTGGCCATTGTACCATCAGGTTTACCTTCACAAACGCCTGGATTCGTGCATGAAACGCCAGATGGACCTGTGCTTGGACCGGGACCTGGAACAGTTGGTGTAGGTGTTGGTGTTTGTGTAGGTGTTGGTTGTGTTTGTGTAGGTGTTGGTGTTTGTGTAGGTGTTGGTGTTTGTGTAGGTGTTGGTGTAGGCGTAGGTGTAGGTGTAGGTGTAGCAGTTGGTGTTGAAGGAATAAGAGTAGGAGTAGGAGTAGGAGTAGGAGTAGGAGTAGGAGTAGGAGTAGGAGTAGGAGTAGGAGTACTATTGCAACAATTACAACAGCAGGAACAATCACATTCGCATGTATCTGCATCTGCATACGCATTAGTCTTGACTTCACAACCAGCTCTGGATTTTAAATCACACATGCCCATTTCTCGGCTAAAATGTAATCCGTTTGGACAGTCTAATATTTTTGCAGTCTTTTGCTGTTCACATACAATAAATTTCGAGCAGTCCACTGGGTGTGCTAAGTGTGCACCCTCAGTTTGGTCCTGGCATACATCAAGTGTAAAGCCACCACCCACGAGGAGTCCAAGCAATAATATTGCTAATACTGCTAAAATTTTTAGAAAAAAAATGAATTTCTTTTGAATTTGTTTTTATAATAGGTATATAATATATTAATTTACCCTTCATATTGTTTAGTAAAAAAAAAATTGTTTTCAACTGTTTTTAATACACCTTTTAGTTGCTGTTCTTTAGACTCTGAAGCTCTGCCTGAGACTGAAGCAATGTTATTGCGAAAACTCCACAATATATTTAAACCCTCTTAATTTTATATATACTATATACTAAATATAGTAAAGTATTGGTTTGAAAAATATCAAATCAATTCAAATCAGTTTTCAATCATTTGATAATGATATATCATTTAATGTCTAAATTAAGGAACATTATTGCGAATGTGCACTCGCTTATCTTTTGATTATTTCCGTACATTTTTTCATACAAACACATTAATACATATATTTCATATATATATATTTGTTTTTCATTTTCAGAATATATATGAAAAATTTATGAAGTATTAACTTGAAGTGCTATTTCATTATCTATATTTTGTTCCTATTTCTGTACATTTTTTTTTTTTGCATTGTTCATATATCTATTTTTTATATGATTTTTGCTTATGTTGTTCCATATTAAAACGAGAAAAAATGTTAATTCTTTAAAAATTCAGTATCTCATTTTTGTCTTTAGAATAATATTTGAATATTTTTTTATTTATACTCTTATCTACAACAAATTTTCTTTATAAATAAATAAAAAATTATCTTTTTTTGTAAGTATTTTTTATCAGTAAATGAAGTTTGCAAAATCTTCGTACTTCAATATAGTTTGAAACAAATTTGCGGCTTGTTTGAATTACAAAACCATAAATAAACAAGCTTTGTTCCTGTTCCCATCTCGATGCATTAATTACTTATAATGTATTTCAATATTTTTTTAACTAATTAAAAACTTAAAAACAACATGTTACAGATAAAAGTTAAGATCTGTTTAAATAGTGTAAAGTAGTCTTATAAATTAATGGAACATGACTAAATCTATTACAAGTTATCATTATTAAAAAATGAGTTGACAACCGCATGCCGTAGTTTTTGAGATACTCATATATTAGATATCACTTTAGTTAATACGTTACTTTAACTGGTTCATATCACTATTTAGTCATACAAACTATTTAGGCTTTATTGAGAGAATAGAATTTTTAGATAATATATTTTCTCATAATAAATTTTAAAAAATTTAGTAAGATATTAGTAGATTTTTTTTTTAATAATAAAATAGAAAAGTTGATATCTTTTTCTACATTCGTGAGAAATGAAAGTTTACTTAGATAGTTAGTTCTAAATAAATAGAAGAAATATAACCCATTTACGCCAGTCATTCAAGTCTTTTAAAAAATATATTATTACACCATAACTTCTTTAACGACAATTATTATTTATTACAATTATTATTCCATTATTAAAGTAAATCCTAAAATTATTAAGAGCAAAAATATTTTTGTAAATATATAATAAATTCAATTATTGTGAAACGAATTTAATTTCATAAAACGTTGGCCCAAAATTTAGATTTAAAATCGTCGTGCACAAAAAAAAAAATATTTTAATGGAATATATTATGTCGCCAGAAATTATAATTATGAAATTGCTTTAAAACTGAATTCCTCAATATCATATACATTGTCAATCATATATCACCACAGCGCTACTGACTTACCACAAAAAAATATAAACTATTTGCGTCGATTTTTTAATAACGAATTCAGAGTCAATATTTTACACAATATATATGGTATATAAGTAGGTAGAATTTCTGAAAAGGTGTTGTAAACATTATACAAAAATTTTAAAACTCTTCACTGACATAGTTTATGTTTAATAATTTATGTGCACTCCAAAAACTGTAGGTAATTTAAAAAAAAACGTTTTCAATTTCTATGTAATGATAAGCACATACATATATGTTATATATATGTACTTATATTGACAAAAAATTAAACTTACATTATAACATGAACATAATGGGATTATCCCGCTTAACTCCCATCTATTCCAATTATAAAGACGGTAAAGCCTTTTATATATATATATAAATATATATAAATATATATATATATATATATTATATATATATATAAAATACACTCTTATACTATGTTCAGACATAATTTCGCCTTAATTTAAGTTTTAAATTAAATTAATTTTATTTAAATTAAATTAATTTTTAAATTTTAATTTCATCTTCGTTTCAGCGAAATTAAGTTATTTTTTCCATACAATATTCAATTTAGTGGTTAGGATGAAATTAAAGAAAATGGCCTTGATTTCGTTAAAACGAAGGCTGAATTTAAGGAACATTTTAAATACAACTATGCATAAAATAAATATTAAGTAAAAGGTAACGAAAAGTGAAATTTTTTTTTAAATAAATGTCAATGATAGTTGACTTTAATAAAACCAGGAAATATTCTGAAAGTTGTGCAAATTTTTAAATTTGAATATAGAGTTTTCTCTTGAATATAGAGTTTTTTTATATAATTTTCTCTCTATATATATATAACTGTTATTAATTTAAAATAGAGGAAAAAATAATAATCCATATTCTTTAAATTCACTAAAGCTAATAAATTTCCCAGATACAAATGGTGTTTGGAGCATGTAATTTTTAACATTCGATTTTACAAACAAAAAACATATGATTTCCTTAATTTGGGGCAGTATAAACACTTTCGAAATTAACTTAATATCGTTTTTATTAAATTATTGAGTACATTTGTTTTATCTTTTAATTCAAATTTGTGAAAATATAGAGATTATTTGAATTAATTTATAGTTCAAAGCTATATACGAAAATAATAAATTTAATATCTCTTGTAGATTATTTAAAATATAAGACGTGACAATATAAATTGAAGCCAGATAGACTTTGTTTTAACATCCTCCATATATCAGGTGGGCACCCAATGCAATTTTTTTGTCTTTTAAATATAGGAATCACATCCTTAATTTTTGTTTTTTATTTAAAAAACCTTTTGCTATAATATAATAAGGGTATTTAGTAGGTCTGAAGTGCTGCAAAAAATACTAGTCTCTTGCTGAAGTCTTTAATTGGTGTACAAAACAATCAAAGTGATCTATTGTTCTAACAGACTAGTTAAGTCCCTAATCATCTAAGACACTGCAAAAAACATGTCACCAAAGCGGTAAGCGATTTATTGTGAACCTGCATTGAATACTTTAACGAATATTACAGAAATGTTCACATATATTCTTATGCAAGCCTAAAGTGAAAAAAACTATTATTTAAGAAATATATGTACGTGAAACATACATGTAAACATGTAAATAAGTAAAAGATTAAAAAAATGAATTTAACACATTTTTTGTAAACAATATTTAATTTTTATTCAAAACAAAAATAAAAGATTGAAGTCTAGGGGAGCTCCATTTGCAACTCATTTGGGTACACTCATGCAAAGAACACTTTTTAAAGAACCTTTCAAAGTTAAAATTAATCTAAGTGATTACTAACTGAATAAATTTATTTTTAAACAAACTTTTATTTTCATATTTGCAATTTTTAGATACATAACAAATATATTTTATTCTGATGTGAATAAAAAAATTTTAATTTTTTATTCGTTTTTTCGTTTTTTTTTTAATTTTTTTTTCATTTTCTTGGTAAATTTCATCTACTTGAAGATGTTATGTGTATTAAAGTATGGAACGCGAATTGTGCGAAAAATAATTAATTTTTCTTGAAAGTGTTTGTCGCAAACATACATATTGTATATGATAGATCTACATAGAAATTTTGCAGTAATTATAAAAATGTTTATATAAGTTATCGAAGTTAATAACACCATCTCTTTTAAAATTGTTTATGTTTGCCAACATTACTCTTATTACTAAGATCTAAGACCTTAATAAATATCAAGTAAATATATATTTGTATATATATGTATAACCGATGCATTTTTTAAGGTTAACAATTTCTGAAGTAATTTGATATTATTTCTATATATCAGAAATTATTTGCGACATTTATTTATTTAAAGTTTACATAACATATGTATACTGATAAAACCCACAAGGTGAGAGATTATAAAATAAACACGCGCCCGGTCTTGAAGGGCATTATGTAAAAAAGTACATTGCATCTATTCTCAAAATTCAATTCAAACTTGTTCTCTTATTAAATTTTTATTATTTTATAATTGGATTAATTAATATATTCTTTTAATATTAGCTAATTGGGTAAAAAAATTTCACACAAAGTCTCACCTTATTAACTACAATAGATAAAATATATAACATACAGTTCCATAACATACAGTTTAAGTCAACTAAAATATTATTGATAAAATTTATATTAAATTGAAGTTAAATATTGATAAACTTTAATCAGCAAGAATTTATTTCGTAGTATTTTAAAATGTACCTACATACATTAAATATTAATTTAGCTCCTATTTAATACTATAAGATACAGATATTAATACAAAATAGAACGTTACAATAACTAATTTTTATAAGAGACTTATTTAAAAAATATACATTTTATAGTTTCAGAATTTTTTAGTGGTATTTGATAACTTAAGGTTCATTGCTTTGTTGTTTATATATATATATATTTTTTTTAGACTAGATATACAAAGTTAGGCCAATAAATACATTTTATTTGTGAAAATAATTTTTTTGATTTATATATATGCATATCCAACAGAATACGATAAGAGATTGAAGTATTAAACAATCTCGAACAAATCTCTTGTTGAAATATTGGTATCTGTCAATATATATATATATTATATATATATATTATATATATATTTTATATATATTATATATATATATATTATGTTATCACAAAGAACAAGTCTTACGCATACGTAGAAAATTTAGGTTCATTTAAATTTTGTATAATTTTAATATTTATTAAAAAATTTATATTAATAGTGAATAAAAAGCAATATTAACAATACAGGAAAGTAAAAAATTTCCTATTACAACAATATTAATTATAGTTGAAATTATTTATGTGTTGAGAAGCATAAATATGTTACAAACTAATAATACCTTCAAGAGTTTCACGCAAACACCTTTTTTTATTGTGAAATCTATACATTCTATAATTACCGTAGAGTTAAGGTTGTTGGTGGAATATATAACGGGACACCATGGCTGCGTTATAACCTTAACAAAATGGGTCTGTTCGAAGCGATAGATTGTCGACTC